AGTGTGAATTAAGGACCCTGAAAAATATTGATATTTTTGAGGGTGACCGGTGAAGGGTGCCATTTGGTATGGTCTAATTTCAAAAGGGGACCAATAGTGTGATTTTTTTTTCAGAAATCAAATGGGGGGGGGGGGGGGGTTCAGGACCCCCCTGACCCCCCGCCCTAAATCTGGGGTCTTTCGATATATTCTAAAGCAGATCTACATTATACAAATGTACAAAAGACACCTTATTTATAATGGTTTATTCCTAAATTTTTCATATGTTCTTCTGTGAAGATTGCCTATACATAGAATACAAAGTTTATTTTAAAAAATTGTTGGTAATTTTCTTTAAATGAGATATATAAATATACACCATAAACCTGACTTTTTTTACACTTATTAGACAAATTGAGTGTCCCAGTAGCAGACTGCAAGACGGAGGAATATGGGTCTCACTGCAAGCAAAGTATGGACCTCAAGGAGTACCTGACTTACTGGGAGAAATACATTGATAGTGGTTATCCTGTTGACATGCAGAGTCTGTACTTAAAAGACTGGCATTTCACAAGGTAATTGTTTGTTTTTTTTGAAAAGCAAAACTTTGATAGCTCTTATTAGTATAGAAAGCTCACAGCAGATTAGGACAGTGTAAATATATTATGATAAATCTTTTGCTAATTATTGTCCCGTTTTTGTAGTAGTGCTTTACTTTTAAAAACCCAAATAGATGTTTGCGGGTTTTCCTTTTCGGCAGATTAAAAATAATATTGTGCACACCTTGAAAGTTGTAATTTGGTTAACCTGGTTAATTTTTGTGTAATCATATTAAATTTGACAGTAAAGTCAGCTTAAAATTTTGCATGTATTATATACTATTAATTTTTCAGAGATTTTCCACACTACAATGCATACATAACTCCTGAGTATTTCCAGTCTGACTGGATGAATGAATACTGGGACACAAGGCCAGACCTCAAGGATGATTACAGATTTGTTTACATGGGAGCTAAAGGAACATGGTACTTTATCAAGGTTAATTAATGCAGGGAATTACATGTTCTGTACCTTTTTTTCAGTGCAAAAATTATGTGAAAACATACAAAGAAGCAATTAACAAGCTTCACTCACAGATTCACACTTTTATTTAATTACTTGATATGTAAGCCATAGAACTATGCTAGCTGTTACAATAACATAACATACATTTTTTTTTATTAAAAGCATCCATTTTCAAAGTGAGTTTGTGTACAGTGCTAACTTAATTGGACTCTAATAAAACTATAAATTATACATACTTTTCCAGATAAGTAGCTCATCGTTCTCACCTGTGCATAGCCATCTTACTTCTTTCTTGTATTTGTAACATAGACATATATTGAGCTTTTTTTAAAACATTTTAGGACACCTTTCCATGCTGATGTGTTTAGGTCATACAGTTGGTCAGCTAATGTCTGTGGCAGAAAGAAATGGTTACTTTACCCACCAGGTGAGTAATTGGCATTGAGAAATCTATGTACATATACCTGTTACTCGATGTCAATGCCTTCTGCAAAATGTGGTCTACAAATTGCAATAACCTTAATTTTTTATCTTCCTAATTTTCTTTGCCTTGTTACCACTTCAGCAAAATGTAAGTGAATTTTACTTTATCCCAATTAATTAAGAAATTATGATAGTATTTTTTGTCACCAGGCGAAGAAGAATGTTTTACCAACAGATTTGGGAAGTTGGTGTTTGATGTCTGTTCACCAGAACTTGATGACGTGACAAGTTTTCCAAAATATCGCAATTTACAAAGACAATATACAATAATACAGGAAGCTGGACAGGTTATCTTTGTTCCCAGTGGGTGGCATCATCAAGTTTGGAACCTGGTAAAACCATTGTGTTTTTACTGTATGATAGAATATGTTGTAGGTACTTTCTTTTTAATTTGTACTACTTTTGTAGGTTCAACTCTGTAGGGCATTATGGTTAAATGCAATCTGTGAAATCAGCTTAATTGTCTGACACGCCTCCTAGGGAAGCTAAGGGTAATTAAGCCAACTAGTACGATGGGTCTATCTGAATGCTCCCTAAAATTTTATAGCTTGCCTTTTTAATTCTTTCCTTCAATAAATTATTAATATAAGATACAATAGTTCATTGTCATTTTCAAGAAAGAGTAAGGCTATATTACAAGTTAAATGTTAAAATTTTACTTAATTAATGATACAAATGATATCTCAGAAGTCACTTTATTTCTTCCAGGAAGATACCATTTCTATCAATCATAACTGGCTGAATGCCTGCAATGTTGACATATGCTGGGGCTTCATAAAACAAAGCTTGGCAGAGGTGAAGAAAGAAATCAGTGACTGTAAAGACATGGAGGGGTGGGAACAACAATGCCAGGTCAGCAGACTTGGAGTTAAACCTAGACTGGCTTACAACTAGATTAAATAACGATACAAACAAAGAATCAGAAATCAAACAACATGTCTTTGAAAACACTCTTGTCTCATTTAGTAAAAAGAGATATTTTGTGGGATTTCTTCATTTTTTATGTGGCCATTAATATCTGAAATAGATTTGTTCAAAGAGGTCTCTTTACTTAAAAAGCTTATAGTTCAAAATCATAAGAAAGACTAAAGTTTAAAGTGTATGGTGCATGACGTGTTTTTGATTGAAACGTTTCAAGATTTTTTTTTTTTGCTTTTCAGCTCATCCTGCATGCGAGCAGTGGAATTGATTATCCAGGATTTTTCAATTTTATGAACACAATTGCTCGACACAGGATAGAAAAATGCCAGCAACAAAATGATATTCAGAAAGAAATCTCAGTGCAATCAAGCAAAGTATTTCACTACTATTTTGACCTACAAAGAGACAAAGAAATTCTTCAAGACATGAAACAAGATGCAGATTTTAAAGCTTTAGGGCCTGAACATCTCAGTTATGATCTGGAGGAGTTAATAGCAGAGATTACTGACACATTAAGTACCAAACACACTGAATAAACTACACAGTCCCTGTCAAAGCTTAATGAACCTGTATTTATTGAATTACAGTACAAAACCTCATTTTCAAGTATCAGATTAAAGTGCATATTTTTAATCCTCCAATTTGTCAACCTAACAGTTGATCCATTGAAAAAATTGATGCTCTAGAAATATCATTAGTCTCTTTTGAATAGAAAAAATAATTACTACATTACAGTATTTTATGACTTTAAATTTTACAGATTTACAACAAGAGGAACAGTTCCAAAACTGGTTTTATTTAGTGTATGGTGCATTTCTTTACCTGTATATCATAATTCAACTTGATATTTATTGATCAAAATAAATTTTACCTTTATTAATCTTTGCTACTGTTTACGTGCTTCATATATATGGACATCTTTGTTTGAGTCATAATATATGTCATTTATATGGAAGAATTCCTTCATCATAGAGAGAAACCTGGTGTCTCTGTCATACCTTATTTTACATGATAAAAGCACCAAACAGTTTCTATTGCACAAATGCTTTAAAGTTTCCAGCAGATCTTGGAAAGTGTCTTCTATATAAATTATATCAGCACCTAGTATGACATCAAAAGGATCAGAAAACTGAAACAAGTTCTTTCCCCAGTCCAACTCTGTTACTTTTGGCACAGTTGTCAAAGATTTTATGTTCAATTCAACATTTTCTTGAATATATTCCAGTACCTTTGCTCTGTCTGTAAGTGTGAGGTGTCCACCTGTTAAAAAGAGTTGATAAAATATCATACAAAGTAATGATAAAGATTAGTTGTTTTAGACTAGAGCACAATAGATGAATTTTTTTTGATGCAATATCCACCATACTGAACTTAAATAATCCCATGGGTGGGGCTTTAAACAAAAGGATCATTGCACTTTGATTTTACTGACAATCTTGCCTGTATTTTGATAAGCTCCGGTGCATTCTGATTACCAAAATGATATATAAGTGCAATCATCCTATTGTTTTAAGTGCAAGCTGAAGGATAAGTCAGTTACAACTATTCGCTGTCCACTGTATGCAACATACAAGAGCAACAGGTGACTTTTGCTGTAAGTAGTACACATATATGGATCAATTAACCTAATTTTCAGTATGTAGACTTCCAATTTGTAACCTTGCCCGTATGTGTGTGTGTCTTTTAACAAGGATTACCTAACATTGCTGCCACAATGCCAGCTAGTCCAGTACCAGCTCCCAGTTCTAGAACAAGCTTGCCTTTGACTACATCTGGATTTTTATCAAGGTACTCAGCAAGAACAACTGCCTAAAATACACAAAAACACAGTTTATTATCATACATGTATCTACTGGTATCATGCACTGTACTGAGTATACAATTACCAGTATTAAGTGGTTCTGACAAAACATACAAAAAATAATAAAAAATAAAGAATTTTAAATAGCAGCTGTTTCATTTTAAGTCTCACACAAAAAATGCCAATGTATAAAAATTATTAATGTTGAAATGGGAAAAGGAAAGCACGTGTGGACTGTAGTCTTGGTTCAGCATATTACATTTAAATTATTTAATAAATAATTTTTTTTCAAAAATAATTGAACTTAACTCCAACATAAGTAAAGAAAAGCACGTCGAACTGTTTTATCAAGTTTAAGTCTGTGGTCAGTGGTCATAGTTTTCACTAACCGCATCCCATACTACAGCAGCCACACCACCTTGGCTCCACTTCTGACGTATAAATAAATGAATCTCGCCGAATTTAAATTCACGTCTATCCTTATGGAAGTGCGGTACTTTGGTTTCATCGTAAAGCATTACTGCAGTACAGCCTCCTTCTACTCCAGCACAGGTGGAGGTATCGGTCTTTTCTAGTGACATAAGCAAAGAAATGTGTGGGATCAAAATGTCCAAAATGAACCATGCTTTCAGCATTTCAATAACAAAACAAAAGAATAGAGGGCAGCACACAATATGATATACTATTTTCGATTTTAGTTCAATAGAAAAAATTCCAAGTTTGCGACTTCATATCATAAAAACATTTATTTATTTATTTATTTTGTGTGTTTTTTTTTTTTCTATAACGAAAAATAGATTTGGGCCCTCTTGAACTAAATCTCATATTATCTCGCGCGATTAGATCGTCTCTTAGTTACACACAAACACTTGCATATACACATGTGATCGTGTGTATTTATCGAGTTGTTTATACCGCTAGACTCGACAGAGCAACTTTGGATACAGCAGTGAGCGTTTGTTAAAAGTTTAAACCGAATATTTACACATTAACAAGATGAATCAAAAACCTTCAGAGACAGGTAAATAGGTGCAATAAATGCAATACAAGTAAGGTCATCGAGGCAAAAATTGTGAAAACTCAAAAGATTTTTAAAGTTTTTTTTTTCGTGCACAAAAATACACGCACATAGCAGGAAGTGTAAACTTGTATAATATTCAAAATGACATTTCAGGTTGGTTTTACCATGCGCCAGCTAAAAGGCAGGTCCATCTGGAGGAAGAACTGCCTCCAGCCTCACAGATTCCAGGACTAAGCGACCTGCCAGAGGAAGAGCAACCTCAAAAACAAATGGTTTACAGAGACTCTGACACAAAATATATCAGACTGTGCAAGCGAGGAGGTCGGGAAGATCTACTTCGTTTTAGGGATTTCAAACCAAAATCCAAAGATCCTGTGCCATACCCAAGAAATGAATGGTTTTATTGGGATAACAATGAAGAAGAAGCACCTTCACAGTAAGTTTTTAAATAAGTAAACATATATAATGAAATTATATATTTCACAATAATATGAATTTCTCCCCCACTTCAACTTCAAAACTTTCATACCTTACTGATCAAACATGTCTGTCATCATATTCAATTAATTTAGTGGTAGAATCTACAAAAATATGTTTTCTGTCAATATGAAAACCAAACCAAATGTATGTAACCATTTTGAATTTGCAGGACATTTGAGCACAAGCTCCCAGAATACATGGTCCACGAAGAGTACAAGCCAGAAGGAGACCACTATGATTATGAAAAAAATAGACCTAAGAGATTACCTTATGCATTTGATAGACTTACAGTTTATGAACGGGAGGGAGATGACAAAAGGGTGACAAATAAAAATGTCAAGATCCCCGAGGTAAAGAGACCTGGGTATGGTGTAAGGTTACAAAGAGTTGCACCTGCTGGACCAAAAACAAAAGCCGTTCACAAGAGTAAACCTAGACCAGGAGAACTAGAGCAGCATAGAAATTTTTTGCCAATGTAAGTCACAGTTTTTAAAGTACACAATTAATGAACATGCTACATGATTTGCATTGTTGTATCGTTTTTAAGTTACTTCTAAATTAATGAAGTAAAAAAAAGCATTCAAATAATTTTATATACTTATGAAAATCCAGCAATTAAAAGGTATGATTTTTAGAATATAATAAATAGTAAGTTGGCTAGTATACAAATTCATAATTGATCGCCAAAGGGATTACAAATCAGAATTTAAAAATGTTTTAATAGGACCTTTTTTATAATTTTAGGCCAGACCTTGAAACAGAAAAACCACAGATGGGAAAGATTTTATCTTACACCTATAACAAGGAATGGAAAACAGAAAACATAAAGTGGCATGACAAGCAAGAAAAACTACATGGCAAAAATGCATTTCCTTCCAAACAGTCAAAAGAACCCGTCAAGTCAGAATACCAGCAGACATATAGTCAAACTGCAAAGGACTCAAAACACAAAGTAGCAAGGTAAATATTTCACTACATTACATAGAAGCTTGATCAATTAATAAAATATAATGAAACCATTTGAAATAATATATATGTGAAATGTTACAACTTATGCTTATTGCTATATTAATTTTTTTTATATTTGTGGGACCCATGATAATCAGAATCACCACTAAGCTATCATTAATGATTTTTTTCAGGAAATCAATAGAACATACTCCAAGAAGAAAAAGTGAAGATAAAGAAAAGCCTTTATTCAAGTTGACAAGGTAATACTTTGTAATTATATGCCCTTTTAGCAGTAGTTAACCAAAGGATATTTTCAAAATTATCTAAGTTTACATTAAAGAGTCATCATTTCCACTTTTATTTTCTACTCTTCCTACTTTAATATGTGATTTATGGGGATTCCGACATTTTTTATGGAAGTTGAACCTGCAATGCCCAAGTTTTAATGAATAGCAACATTCTTAAATTTCCCATTTGTTTTTATAGGTTTACTAAAGTACCAGCAAGAACAGATAACCACTGGCATAAGACGGAACAACTACCCTCAGTGGCATGCTAAAGTGGTTATTTAATAAAAGACAAAACTGACTTTGTAAAATGAAGAAAAAGAAATACTCTCTCAGTTCCTGATTCCACTGATGGAAATTGGTTTACCTTATGAGGGGATTTTGCATTTACTAATATCTGCAGACTGCACCGTACAGTAGGATTCTTGGACAGAGAATTTACAAGTTGACAGTATTCTTTATCTTATAAATATATAAATATATATTACTTTTGTGTACATTTTCATTATAAAAATACTTTTTGAAATTATAAGTCATAGAAAATATTACTTGTCAAAGGTGCAATTTATAATGATGCATAAAAATTCATTGTCACGATTGTGATGTCTTCCTTTACATCATGAATAAACGTGCCAAGGTGCTACACTTTGTATTTCAAGAGTTAAATATCATTAATTTACATATAAATAGTTACATGCTGTAAACTGAGAAACATTGTTATGACTTCAAACATTTTTTTATGTTGGAGCATTCTCGATAACAGTTTATGCAACAAACTTTCAGTCCAATGTCTGTCAGAAAAAAAAAACTTGAATAATTCAGAAAAGCTTTTAACCAACAACTGCACCAACTGTAGTTACAGCAGCTTTAACCAACACCGTGAAATATAAGATAACAGCAATGGCTCCCCCTATTGTCAAAATGATGCCTGTAATGCTGAGACCCATGGAGATTTTTCCTCTAAGTCTTGCAGAATCCATGTTGTTCTCGTCTGCTGCACATCCTGAACACAGGGAGACAATAATGGCGATGATTCCTGGAGTACAAAAAACAATGTTTGCTACATTTACAGTTGTGTATCAGTAAAATTTACCATAGTATTTAAAATAATTGTAAACTCTAATTTTCAAGGACACACTTTCTCTTTAACAGTTTCTGACAAGAATGCACTGGACCTTTGATCACGAGTGATTAAAAAAAACTTTTTTTTTCTTCCTCAAATTGATATCAAAGTGTGTTAAAAAAGACACCCCTGCCTTTGTGACATAGACTGCATTTAACAAAATAATCTTTAACAAAACTTAAAACAAAACTGAAAGATATCAGATTTAAATGTCAACTCACCAATGGGCAGATTACAGCAGATTGTGACAAATATGGCCAGACCAAGATAACTGGAGGGTCTCGGTGTGCTGGTTGGGGGCTGGATGACAACTGTGTGTGAGGCTGCGGGCTGGGCCATAACCACTGTGTTTTGGGCGTGGGCGTCACTCTTTCCAGGCTGGGGATATTGGTGGCCTTGCTGGATATTCTGTGCGTATTGATGGCCATATGCTGGCGGGCCAGGGTAATGTCCGGAACCATTCATTCTGCTGTTACTTGGTATAGTCTATAGTCGTAAGCGTTGATGGAAAAATAAATGCTTTTTTTGGATTTGATGGTGTCAATTGTTTGATAAATTATTATAATCTTACGAGTTTACTAAACATTGCATTGCAGTTTAATCGGATCCCGGCTGTGAGTTTCGTTCAAGGAAAGAAATAAACTCGGGGTTTGAAAAATTAAAAACCTTGAAGATCATCAATTTTCTAGGGGCGAAGATCAAAAGGAAATACGGAAGTATTCTGTTACACAGTCGTATAACTCACCCAAATTTCACACACGACCCACGATCGCCTCCTTACCAGCGGTCATACGCACACAATTGTGGAGGCGCGCTTTCAATTTCACGCACCATTCAACCCAGGCCATCTCAAGTTGAAATTTTAGTGGGGTGCAGATTATAGACATAAGAGAGAAATGAAAATAAACAAAATAAGACGCAACACAATTTACCATTTTTGACAATAGATACATTAAATATTTCATTCGCCGTGCTACAATTATTTCGCAAAAACTTCATCGATTATTATTTAGCATTCAAAATTAGCTTCTCTGTGACGCTCAAATGTGATCTTCCAAATTGGACAAAAACTCATCAGGCACAGGTAACAGTTTACACGACCAGAGTAGCTTTTCCAAGAAACGATAGCTATCAGCGAATTTATGTTTCCAAATGTTTGAGACAGACTTTATCTTGTAAAGCGTGTTTGTTACGCTTTAGATGGAATGGAAATTTAAAGTTGACAACTGTTTTTCTTTACTTCCATTTTGTTTCAGTCAAGTTTACTTTATATTTCTTTAGAATATACTTAAACAAACAACATAAGTTCTAGTGAACCTATTTTTGTCGATTTATAAGCAATAACGGAAATATAGCGATGATTTAACAAAAAAGTGTTAACAGGACCTTTTTACACATTGGACAAATGTAATGAATGTATTTCGGTCTTTATTTAAAACCCCGACAACTCGTTCCATAATTTTTACGCATAAAAACTAAAACTATTTTATGTACATTTTTTCAACGGGGTATATCCAATAATTGTCTTTGGTGATAAAATCCTATTCACTCTTTTTAGTATGTTTTCAAGATATTTTTATGGAGGCTGTTGAGATTTATCTAGCTCTAATTATGCCACTTAAAAACTTGGCAATTTTTTTATCATCTACTCTGATCTTTTTTTATGGTATCGTACAAAGGCAGTTAATAGTTTTTCCAAAGCTCTGATTCCCCTATAGAAAATAAGAAAAGAAATGAAATGTCATCAATGAATCAATGTCTAAGCCAAATATAATTTTCTTAAAAGCAATTACAGTAAGAGGAAATCAGAATTTTGGTTGTTAAAAGTTTTTTTTTCCAATCAATTAATTTTCAAAATGCCCTTCATCGGTGTCTGAACATGAAAGATTGTTTGATTTAGAGTTCAACTATTGTTCGCTAATGAACTTCTAGATATAATGAAAAATCTTTAAAATATAGGCCAATTGATTAATACTTAATCACGAAGCTGTATCAGGGATTTTTCGACGTAAAATTTCCGACGTGTTAAGTATAGCTTGTCTTGTGTAGCTGGCGCTGTAATCAGTGTTGCGTCAAGTCAATATGTCTGCGCCCGTGTGAGACGTTTCTTCAACAAAATGTGAGAAGTTCTCCTGGTATGGTGATTATTACGTGAAAAGCCCGATTACCAGGAAGAAGCCGTGCCTTCCATAAAGCCTATGTCTGTCGAAAGGTCAGTACGTCGTAACATATCTATAACGAACTACATGTTCACGTCAGTCTCATCGTGTTTTGCTACGGACCAACCGTTCGGGGTAGGAAAGATTTAAAATGCGCATATAAATACATGAAGGAAAGCATTGTAAGCTTACATTACCAACACAAGAAAGCGTAGGTTACTAACGGTCTCTTGTATTGGTAACATAAGCTTACAATATTTACCATTACTGAGTTGGTACAGTCTGGTCAAAGTGGTTAAGTTGAAGCTGAAAATCTTCAAGTCCCCTCCACGAGCCTAAATAATCTAATTAATTAATAAACCCCTAATCACCTTCTCGACTGAGCTCAAATCAAAGGATTGATCAAAAATGCCATTAGTCCATAAGGTCTGACTGGAGAATATATTTAGAAATGAACATGTTATTCAATTTTTGCGAGTATAAAATATCTGTACTGCAGTAGTGTTATATGATCTCCAAATATCCTAGAGTGATTTCTTCTGGGTCTGTCAACTTCACATTTCTTGCCAATATACCATGATTTGAGGATTTAGAATGGAACTTTTTTCCTGCCAATGTGGTGAGTTGTCCAGCCAATGGAAGCTGTCAAATTAACAACTACTCTCTGGTAACTTTTACCGAAAGTATCCTAAGAAAGCTAGGAGAGGGCGAGTGAGTGAGAAGTCAAATCAGTTCGTCAAAAATGCCAAGGTTGAGTTAGCTTTATTACTGGCAATATAGACTTTCCTAAATGGTTAGAAATTGTTTTGAAAGGACAAAGAGTTATTATTTTTCAGGGTTCTGCCGAGGCCGCGATTCTGCGAGATTCTCGCCAAAAAAATAAAATTCTCGCACAAAAATTACCAAAGATGCGAAAATTCTCGCATACAAACCGAGTGAGGGTGCTATCATTGTTCTTGAGATGATAAAAGACACATTGAGAGTGGCGTCTAAAATTGTTTATCTAAATAATCATCACCGGTATAAATTTCTTCGCATCGTCCGCTGCATTGACTTGTTAACACAGTGTAGCTAACGTCGTCATGTGTGTGTTTCCGATGTACCCTCGTAAGAGATCGTTTCAAGCAGCGTCGTCATTTGTTGTCGTAATATCAATAGTACCTCTTCATGACTACAGTCCAATCGGCAATCCTCGTGTGACTCCGCTGCACTAAAGTTAGTTGAGCGATTGAGCGGTTCTCTCATTTCGCGGGATAGTCAACCAATGATAGACGGCGTGACAGTGATATTCAGCCTGATGAAGCGTGGTTAAAATGGCGGCTTCCTCGCCGAAAGCGAAAGTTAAAAAACAAAGATCGGTTTTAAGCTTTATGCCAAAGTCTTCGGCAAGCGGTGAAAAATCAGGTCAGACTCCTGTTAATCCCCCCTCAGATGAATCCGTCTCTCCGCCTGACAAGTCTGAGAAAAGGAAGAAACAAATTTCTGAAGTTGCGACTCCAGATGAAAATGACAGTTCGTTGACAATAAAGGTATGTTCATTCCGTGGCATTTTTATTTTACGTTTTGGAAGGACACTTGACACTTCGTTTGAAAATGTGAAAGAAAGTAAAAAAAAAAAGGTAATCGCCCGTTTTTGATACGATTATTCCTCTATATGTGAGTATGATAATATGAAAAAGAAGTTAAAAAAGTAAGGAGGCCCGTTTTTGATATGTTTATTCCTATCACTCTATAGTGTATATATATATGTGTGTGTGTGTGTGAGAATAAAAATTTGAAAAAAAGGAAATGTTTAACTTTAATGAAGAAGTAAGGAGGCCTGTTTCTGATATGTTTATTCCTCTGTATATGCGTGTGAGGATACTTATTTTAAAAAAAAAGTTAGGGCCTCCTAATCAAGGATATTTTCATAGAATGCACTCAACCAAATGTGTGACCTATATTTTTTTTACCTTAGCCTTTATTTTAAAAAGTAGTCAATATTGTGAAAACGATAAATCAAAGATAAAAATGTCCTTCCCAAACACTATTATGCAATTTTTCCTGATAAAAGTGTTAATTAAGTCATGATTAATCATCAAAACCTAAAAATTCTTTTGGATTGTGGTGTCTGGTTCCAGAAATTACAAGTTTGTAAGTAGGAAAAATTTTAACTTTTCTTTAATTTTAGGTCTGCAGACCAAATACCATCAAAGGGCCTGAAAGAAAGAAACCGAAAGTAGTGCCACAGAAATTTCAACACGATTGGTTAAGAGATTATTCTTGGCTCCGCTATGATAATGAGGCAGATGCTTTATAAAAAAATCATTTGCAACTGTATATACATACAGCCTATGTAAAGTTACTTTCAAAGTTGAATCAGTTCAGTTTGTGAACTTTAATAAAATACCAGTACAGACTAGCAGTGTATGTTTTTACGTAAAATATCATTTTTCCTGATCTCCCACTATTTCTCAAAATCTCCCCAACTTTTATGCTCAGAGGGGAGAATTCTCCCCCCTTTTTTGAGACCTTGGCAGAACCCTGATTTTTACTGACTTAAGAAAATTTAGCACATGTAGTGTGGTTAATTGCGTTCAGTATACATTTATTACTTTATACATGTACTTCCTTTAGCAAAATTTATAAAAAGAAAATGGAAACGCTTTAAACTGTATTGAGGGACACTTTGTAGACAACATATGCAATTTACTTTACTAAAACGGTCTCCTTAAACTCCCAGTACTTTATAGAAACATAATTAAACACATAAATATTTTTAGCATTGGCAACAGGTATTTTTACAGACTCAATAAAGATGGCATCTAATGACCAGACTCCAAACAGCAGTGATCTCCCAAGAGGGTTGATAGGGAGGACGGGAACTCCAGCTGCCAAGGGGGTCAGGTAGGTCTGTTTTTTGTTAAAACTTGTAACACTTCAAGCAAGCTCTACTAGTAATTTATCTGTGGATTTTCCCCAAGTCATGCTAATGAAGTTGTCATCTTTTCTTTAATTGATATTCATAATTTGCAGTGCCATCTTTAACATTTATTGCCATGATTATCTATTTTTTAGGTTGCCATCACTTAGAGCTCCCCGGGATTTGACTCTTGGAGGTGTAAAGAAGAAGACATTTGCTCCCAATATTCCAGTGAGAAAAGACAGAAGCAAGGAAAGGTATACTTGAGTCCTGGTTATTATTGAACATATACACGGGACATGAATTGGCATAATTAAAACATAACTAGCAAGGACACTTATCAAACATTTAGATTATTCATCACTTTCTTAAGGGGTCAGTTTTATATTGACATTTTGTTACAAGAATGAGGTGTTTAAGTCTCCTTAATAAATGTCAATGTGTTTTGATGTTTATAGACCATATTGCTAGCTTTAATGTTTTATCACTTGCCAATTTGACAATAATGCATGTGCATATCTTGATTCATCTCAATAGACCTGTTTGCCAAATATATTATTTTCTTTCATTTAGTATTTATAAAACATTTTTTCATGCAATCTCTAAGTTGGTTTATAGTCAGATTATCAAGCAGGTCTTATTTTCATCATTGCAGAAGTACAGGTGAAACTCCAGAACCTAAGCCTAGTCCTGGCAGTACAAGGAAAGATAGAGGAGGGGGAGATGGAGCTCGGGGAAGAGGGAGAGGACGAGGAAGGGGTAGGGGAAGAGGCAGAGGAGAGGTTTTGCAGTCCCATTCTATTTTTGAACAAGGACCTACAGAAAAACTGCAGGCAAGAGGTTTGTACATTTATGTTTGATCTATTTAGCCAAATGTTAAGCACAATAAAAATTGGGTAATAAAGATGTAAAATATTGCACTACTTTTTGCAGATTTTTTCTTGATTCAATTTAATTTTTTTAGGCTCAAATTATCTAGCACTTCAGCCATAAGAAGTTTGATCCTAGAGCTACTAGTCCAGTAAAGAAAAAAAGGCTTATCTAATATCAGAACTTATTAGTATGTATATTTTGGAGAATAAGATTAGGTTTGTTATAGCAGATATTTCAAATCTGTTCAGGGTCATCAGGCTACACTGAGACGAGAGAGAGAGGGGATTCCTCAACATCTAAACTTTCTGTGAAGAGGGAGAAGACAGAAAATGAAGACACCAAAAGAATACTGGATAACTTGCTTCGAGATGATGTAAGAAGTCTTGAAAATAAATTCTTTGAAAATAAATTAAGCAATGCATTAATCAATTTTAATGTCAGTTTTCATTCTTTTTTATTTAGTTTAGAAGAGATTATATTGAGGTTTAATTTACGTATCCATGTTACTTTAAAATGGCACTTAGCAATGAAAGTTGTAGATGAATTTTGTCAAAATTTCTATTTTGTTTATTTTTTTCAGTTTATAGATTTTGGTGACATGTCAGGTGCTGACGAGGGACTTAATCCAGTGGCCTTACCTCTGGCAACCTCAGTGAAAAAAGAACCACAGTTGGAAACAGATGCAATAAAATGTAAGAATTTTTAAATAATATGTGTATTAGTTATGTGAAGAGTTGCTTCTGGAAGGACATATTGCTTGTATAGAAGACCTTGCACAGATGCATGTTATTTGTTTAGATTATACAAATATTTCAAAGTTTTAAAATCTTTCTTAAATTTTTTTAATAGTTTATCATTTCTGTATAATACAGCTGAGCCAATGGAGGTGGATGAGGAGGATAAGACGAACATTCCAACTGTGTCTTCAAAGCCTGTTAAGCAGGTGCCGCAGAAGCCAAAACCAGTAGAAAAAGAAAAAACCTGTTCAGAGATATTTGCTAAAGCTGAGAAATCAGGTATTGATGGAAAATAGAGTGTCTCCTTATTGTTTTCTGATTGTGAATTTGGTAGTGTTTGATTTGCAAATTCATGAACTCATTTGAATTTGAGCAAATTTAAGTAAGAATAGTCATGATAAGAACTGTATATATTAGATTGAAAATGTCGTGTTTATTTTCTCTTTCCTGTAGAGACAGGCCAGCTGTTATTTTTCCACCTGCCTGACTCTCTGCCCGGTGTGCCCCCACCCAGGGAGGAGGCAGAGGTCAAGGGAAAAGAGGGGACTTCGTCCACCAAAATGGACACGGATGAGGTGGGTTCTTTAAATTAGCTTGCTTTTAACTTGAGAAGAGCAAGTATACATCATACTTTAGCAGAGTGCACAAACTTGGCCCTTTTGAATGAAAATACTCTCTTTTAAGTACTTGAACTTTTCCACTTTTTTTAAGGCCAAGTTATGTGATCAAATGGGAAAATCCAGCCTTCGGGACTTTTCAGAAGGTTATATTGGGAAACTACAGGTGTTGAAGTCAGGAAAAACAAGATTAATGCTGGGAAATGTCACTCTTGATGTAGCCATGGGAACACCATGTGGCTTTTTGCAGGTAATTTGCTGTAAGATAAATTACTTTGGGCAGTTCCTCGGAAACCAGACCAATCTTTATTCGTTCTTTATTTGATAAACCCAGATGTACTGTTTAAACATTTCTGTAGAAATTTAAGTAGAAATTTAGTCATTACAGTAAAGTTTTTTCATAAATATATAAATCTTTCCTTTCAGGACCTTGTATCAGTGAGGATAAGAGAAGACGGCACCGGAGACATGACCGTTTTGGGACGTGTAAATGACAGACTTGTTTGTACACCAGACTTTGAAAGCCTTCTGAATTCGCAGAGCAAAAGCTGATATTTGCCGGTCGTATTTAATGATTTCATATCATAAATTGACAGGGCTGTTGAAAATAGTGTCAAATTACATAATAGTTGAAACATTTTCAAAGCAGAGAAGTAGTAAGAACAGGCTTATGCAGTCATGAAGTCCACTTGTTGGCGTTGCATGTGCATTGAATATATTATTTTTATCGGCAATTTTGTTTTACATGCGACAGAGAATGAATTCAAGTGTTTTGGCATCGTTTTTTCCCGAGAGGACTTATAGTTTCTTCCCAGATAGATGAGTTGAATGTTATATCTATTGGTTATACGCCCTTTTTTATAGCTGGTTTGATATTTGATATTTGATATTCTACCAGATTTGGTTTGCCGTTAAAGGAAAAGATCAAAACGATGATCTCATAGTTTCAGAACTTTGAAAGCTGCATTGGACAATAAAGCGACAAATAAGGCGATGTTTAGAATTGTACTTTAAAGGTGCTTTAAATTGTTTTCAGAAGTCAATTCTTATCAGAACGGAGTCGGAATTGATTTGAAAAATAGTATAAGAGAAGAGGTTAATGGAGTTGACGAACCACTCCATACCTATTGTGATTTATGTAAAGAATAGTTGGACTTGACCTCTCATCCTTTTGATGCCACATCTGTGTAAAAGAGGATGCATGACCAGTGAAGCGTTTGCCATTTTGACTGCATTGAATTTCGATCAAATTTTGTTTTTTTCTTCGGGGCCGAGTTTTAAGGCGATATTAACCGCGGCGTGTTTAATCCTATCGCTCTGTGTTCTGGAATCAAAATGGCGAACCTTCTGCTGAGAAAATCCAGAGAATCGGTAAGTAAATGTATAGTTTTCAGTCTGCAGACTACATGTCTCCCAGGGATGTCTCTCAGGGGTTTTTCATTAGATTTTTACGTATAATTCTCTGGTCATTCTGTGCACATTTCTGTCCAGCGGGAAAATTAAAAGTCATCACCCAAATGACCTCTGGCGGAGAATAAATATACATGTGCACCCTTGGTCTGGTCCTTGTTTCTGTTAATACCAAGACGTCTCAAATGTTGGTGCAAGTCATTTAATGATTAACAGGGGGAGTTATTGGTGCGATATACTCTCATTAGGTTTGGTCGCCTTAAACAATCGACTTCTTCAGGTCTTTTTCTTTTTCAATTTGGTCAAACGATATGTTTTCCAGCAACGATTCCCCGTGCACAATCTCTATCTTTTATCGTTATTATCCCTTTTTTGCCTTTTTGGAATCGATGCAATTTCACATACATCGCAAATATGTGAGCCACTATCTTTATAGATAGTGAAGTTACCTTTATCAGTTCTTTCTGGCCAATATCGGCACGTTCAAATCTCTGTGACGCATCGGAAACCATTGAAATAAATATTGTAGAAGATTCGAAGATTAGTTGCAAGGGAAAATGCACTTTCAAAAATCATACAACGGACCAAGAGAGTTGGAAAAAAAAAGCCCGGCAACGTGTCGTCACGCGTGGAGGATTTTAAATGCAGTTTCATGTTACCCAATGCCAATACAATGAGCAACTCGTGCTAAAATCATTTTTCATTTTAAACGACCCCAAACTGTCGCTTTACGACTTGCGTCTTACCCCTTGCAGAGAAAATGACAACCATTATCATGACCTTATCCCCTAGACAATTTGGGTACAATCAAATCAAGTGATTCTTAAATAGCTTGTTGAAAGACGATTTTTCCTAGTCAAAACGATAAAACGATAAACCCTGGGTACACTTTTGAGATTCTGATCCTTCAGTGAACATACATTATGATAGAAAGAAAAGTGCACGCATCTGTTCCATAGATATTTATTATTCTTCGCCTGAGTTACGGACTCCGTTTCTAGTTGAGAGGGATCTTCTTCCGGCTTACTGAAGGGATCCTTTGATAACAAAAACACCTTCATATTTGCAGTATCGATATTGAAGCGTTGAACAGGATGACACTTAAGCAAACAAAGGTAAGAGCGAAAGGAGGAATCGGGTTTGTGTGTGTGTGTTGCTTTTTTTTTCTAATTTACGATTCACGAAAGTATGTAAAATGATATAAGCCATTTCTCTCCATCTTTTATTCAGGTTAGCTATGACGAGCAGTGTGAAGTGATGTTGATTCAGTAAGTATTGGACTCGTTTTGTAGAAAAATGTTTTTTAGTATTAGAGGGTTTAGACGATGGCAAATCTTATTAAATTTCTATTACATTACATGGCTATTGATTCTTGTTCTAAAATGGGACTATATGTATAAAACAAGGCAGATGCGTTCCAGATTTAGATTTTACCATTTTTGTCTTTGTTAAAACATTTTAGGTTGTATGAACGGGTGCGTTATGTCAGATACGGTGAAAAACTTAATTTTACTCCTTCCGAACGCACATCACTCCGACTAAGCTGGAATGCCTGGATCGGAGGAAATCCGTCTCAAAGGGGATTCCAAATGTTCCTAAGGTATACATTTGTTTCTCAAGTTTTTTTTTATTATTATGAAAATAAGACTTTCATACAAAAGTATACGTTTTGTTATATTTGCATATGATGTACATACTATTTCGAGGGACTGTCAAGTCACCATGGGAACCTAGTATACATTACATAATGGTAAGCAAATGTCGGATAGAATATGTCTGAAAAGTTTCGCTTTTGGTTTTTCATTTTATCACTTTCACCTGGATCTGACGTCACTGTGTTACAGAATGTTCAAAAGTCATCCCGAAACCCAACTTGCCTTTGAGTTTGCGAAGGGCTCTTCTCTGGCTTATCTCCAGAACAGCTCGCGCCTACTGTTTCATGTGAACAGGGTGGTGAAGTACATAGGCAAAGTTATTGAAAATCTGGATTCCCCTGAAGAGGTTGTGCCTGTTTTGCTGCAGTTGGGCGCAATGCATGGACCTCGCAGATTCAATGTGCCGTCAGGATATTTCCCGGTACGAATCTCAACTAGCACAATTTTGATTGCAACGTCCATTGCAACGGTTGTCACTTCGTATTACCTCTTCTCTTCAAAACACGCTTAAAAGATTTTTCAGGCAACATATTTAAGGTTACATCAAATAGCCAATTTGCCAAGACGATGAAATTTGACAGCGTAATCTGGATATTTGTATTGATTGAACATCATTCAAATCAAAACTAACGCGTTTTCACACCCCCCCCTCTTGTTGGTTTCCAAAACAGTTGTCCAGTGATAAAATGTTTCACACTAGTATAGAAATAATAATACAACAGTGCAAGACAAATATTTGTTAAAAAGGTCATAATGACTCAAGGACAGTTGCCGTCACTGATAGTTTCTTTCCACAAATTTTACAGCATCTTGGAGTAGCTATGCGGGAACTTATGAGAGAATCGCTTGGAAACTGGACGGAAGACCTCAACAAATTATGGGACGAATTGTACCAGTGGATAATCCAACGTCTTATAGAGGGACAGCAGAGGGTAGAAAGCTAACCACTAGATACTAATTTCAGCAGACGATAAATTAGGAACACTCGAGATCCAGATTTGAAGCCCCAGCAGCAAAATATGAATACAAATAGATGAAAAATTTTACAAAATTTATTGGATATACAGTTGAACTATTTTACAATCTACAGTGTCAATATGAATGAATAATAAAAATGGATGTATTTCCTTTTTTGCTAGTTTTCCTAATCCTCACAGATACAGTCAACATACCTAGGGAAAAAAGACACGAACATGACATAGAACATCTAAATAATAAAATGAGACTAAAACGTCAGAGTCATCTACTCTCAGTCCATCCTTTCTCACAAAATCATTTTCAATGCCTGATACACTGTTTCATTTTGGTACTAATTTAAAAGGAATGTCATTTGTTCCACAAGCATTGAAAAGGCTTGGTGATGCCCCCATGAACTGTCAGCCTCTCCCCTCTCCACTATCTGTGCACCGAGACCAGACCATGGATATGTACAAGGGAGTGTGCATGTTATAGTAGATTATGGCTGCCTAGACACTATGAGGCTTTCTGGGATCCCTTCTTTCCAATCAACGACTTGTGGATGTGAGGGATGACACCTGGAAGAGAAATAATGTACACAAATTGTAGAGCAAAATCAGAAACTTTTCAAACAACACCAAGTCCAACAACCATATCAGTGTTTACAACCTTGTAGGTAAAGTGTCCCTCTTATATAATATTGATAACAGGTCATAACACTTACCACCACCAGCTATGGTTGCCTTGATGAGTGAATCCAACTCTTCATCACCACGGATGGCCAACTGCAAGTGACGGGGTGTGATACGCTTCACTTTAAGATCTTTACTAGCATTGCCTGCCAACTCTAACACCTGAAATACATCAGAAATTACTTAAACCCCCAAGGTTTTAAACTTGCCTTCACTTCTAATAGAGACTACAACCGTCTACAACAAATGGTAAGACAAACCAAATGCACATCTTGCCCATTGTTAAAAGTTTTTTAAAACCAAATGTATTCATGTGACAAGAATGCACGACAAGCCATAATCAAAATACTACAAAATCAGCTACACATTGTCCAGACATTTCTGCTGTATGTGCTATACATGAACACCACATTGAATGGGCACTGTAACTTCCAAATAAAGGAATTACACTTTGTTATTTGTTATAATAGAGACTAGAGCAGACAAACTAGACACCTACTTCTGCTGTGAGGTATTCTAGGATGGCTGCACTGTAGACAGCGGCAGTGGCTCCTACCCTCCCGTGGCTGGTTGTCCTGTTCTTCAGATGTCTGTGGATACGGCCCACTGGGAACTGTTAAGAAAAAAATGTTATTATGAGGAGTAGCATTAGCAAACACATTCATTCTGAGATCACTTCAGTTCAGTTAATTTTTACCAAATACTAACACTGGAGAAAGCAATGGGGAGGGGGGTACATAGTTCAAAATCGCATTGCAATTTTATATATACCAGAAAAATTATATCCAAATGTGCCAAGCAATGTTAAGGGATTTTAACCAGTCATAATGCTGCAATGTGCAAAATTTGTTGCATCGCTTTTCATCAGAGATTAAATTTTTTAATTTCTCATACGAAGAGAACAGTGAACGTAAATAATTACTGAAACTGTGCACATTACAGAATTTCACAGATGTACCAGACTGAAGTAAAACAGAACAAATAACACAAAACACTTAAAAAATAACATCAATTAATGACAAACAGGGATTCTAAAAAATTTATAACATGCCAGGCATTACAATACATCCTATCTGTCTATTAAATATTAAACCCTGTCTACTGATCACTTTAGTAAAAAATTATTTCAATTCATCTAGTTGAAATAGAAGTTGCCAGTTTTATCTATAGTTGCTATGTTAATTTGGATATAAACAAAAAAGAATCCTATTGAGATTTATAACCCTCCTGTTAGAAATGCTTTAAGGGTATAAACACTCAAACGTCGTGAATTAACTAAAAAATTGCTAGGTGGAATAATGGGGCTTATAACATCAACCGCAGAAACCTCATTCATTATTAGGTCAAAACACAGAACTACCCAACGAAAACTAGGTCAAAATGCCGACTGGATAAATATACATTAAATCTGTAAAATCTTTCAAGGATCTTGTGTAGTAAAGGCCTACTATACACCCTTAGTAATATGCAATATATTTGATGATCATCTCACAAGAGGAAGCAAGTGAAAACAAAGAAATGAAATGTAAACAATGAGAAGCCCGCCAAATTTTGAACTACGATTGACAAAATTCATGTCCATTTCTTGAATGTTATGAAGTCTATTGATCATGTCAGTACCAAAAGGGTTTATATGATAATATAGCAACTCTACCTGTAGTCCTGCTCTTGCTGAACGGGAAACGGCCTTCGCCTTAGCCTTTCCAGAATCTTTACCTGCTTTACCGCCAGCCTACATAAGGAAATAAATATTGCTTTATTTTGAAATTATAGTAGACACAATGACAAATTAAGAATAAAAATTATCACAATTGTTTGCTTTTTTAAAATGCATAAATCTGCAATAATGATGGTGTCTAAAAACGTACGATTTTTACAGATACTTTACCATTTCGTTTGTGTATACGTCCTACAGCCTTGAACGTAGCCGCTACAATGGAGGGAAAGCGTGGGTCACGTGACAATGTTTTGAACTGATGACGTAGTTCAAATCATCCTATCAGATGAAAGAACTGAAACGAGTGATGACATCTGGCGCGAGAAAAAGGAAAGTTTCCATAAATAGTACTACGTCTGCGGTTTCAGTCTCGTAATGGTTTGTTTTTATTTTGTCTGCCCTGATATCTGCTTTTCCTATCAATCAGATCATCTACATGACCTAACTTGAACATTTTAATTGACTCTTTGGTCTTCATCTTGAAAAGTGTTTCGAATTTTTCGCTTGTTTGACATTAGAACATCCCCTGACCCCGAGTTGCAGTGCCCCCTCAATGCGAATTGTCTATTGCAATCACTACTAATGAAGACTGGTAACAAAAACTATATTGGTTTGAGGTAGGCTACCATCATAAATCATTACTCTAAAGCTAAATAAAACTATCCCAACATGTTTCTTTTGTTTTAAATTCTAATTCTGCATAAATTTATTGTTATCTCTGTCGGGGACATTTAAATTTTGTTAACCTCACGTAGGCCTAATGTCTTTGTTTGTAGTCCGCAATACCTTATAATACTGTGTAAATTCTAAAGAGCTTAAGTAGGCTTGTTGATCAATCTGATTAAGAAGTTAAGTTGAAGAATCCTGTCTTGGTTTGATATTAAAGAGTGGGACTCCCAAAAAATGGGTAGAAATGTAGCCTACCTGCGCAAGCAACGAGTGAACCTTAAATGAACTGGTTTTTGTTGTCAACGTTGAATTTCCTCATAGTGATTGACACATAAATATTTTGACCACGAATCTTGAAAGCAGTATTATATAACGCGTTGTCCAACCAACGGTGTCCGTATTTCGAGCTTGTTTGTATTTTAATTCATTGTTTCTGCGCAGCTTCGGACATCTACTAGTAGGCCTAGTAAGGGCCTATTAATGTATCTCCGAGCTTGCTGGATTCTATCACAAAAATGAAGTGATTTTGATTTGGGGAAAAATGAATGAAAATTACATACATTGATAGTTTATTTGCCCTATAAGATCATTCACTTTTAAGTTAACAAACAGCATAAACAATAGCATAAACAGACAACGTTTACATTTGTTATTATTAAAAGCTGGCTAAATGATCATTATAAATACCTGTGACTTTATAATTAAAATGTCTTTGGTATTCCCATCTTAACACTGTTAAAAAATATTGAAAATAATTAATTATATCCAGGGGCGGATCCAGGATTATTTGAAGGGGATGTGAAGGGGATGTGAAGCCCCCCCCCCCCCCCCCCACCGGCGTGTGGTTTGATTTTTTTAGAGGGTGAACAGTGCCATTAGAACTATGATTCAGATAGTCAAAATTCTAAATTCAAAAACAAAATCTGCCATTGATATCACGCTTCCAAAAGGGCCACATCACTTTACTCAACGTTTGATCAAAAACCCCGCTGGGGTAGATTACTCTCTGAGCGAAGGACGCGCTAGTAGTCTATTATAAAATTTTTGTATCGATGATACTTTAATGTTTATTATCTTAGAAGTATCGATGATACTTTAATGTTTACTATCTTAGAAGTCCCTGATATCAGAGGGTAGGGAAAGAGAGAACATATATAAAGCGTTCTCCCACTGTGCATAATTACGTTGTTGTTCAGGTAATTGTTCCCCAACGAGTTCTACCACCCGTCAATTACCTTAACAAGTCAAACTGATGACAGCTGAAAGAACCAACGTTTAGGAAAATAATCAGACGATGAATTGGATCTTTATCAAAAGGAACAACCCTGGGTTGCAACTCGCTCAGGTGTTAGAATCGAAGGGGGGGGGGGGGGGGGGTACCCTCTACCAGGGTGGCAGATATTGTAGGGAAATTTTTCTAAAGCCAGCAGAGAACAAAATGACCGTCTATTTATCTAAAGACATCTGTAAAAATCTTGTGAAAAATCAACCTGTCGCCCTGGTAGAGGGTGTGGGTGGGGTGTGTGTGTGTGTGTGTGTGTGTGTGTGTATGTGTGTGTGTGTGGGGGGTTACCAATCTTTTTGTAGCCACGTGTCATTAAAGCAGGTAGCGATACCCTCCCATTTGTTCTGAATGGTTTAAAACCCCCACTTATAAAAAATTCCCATGCTCTAGACTTGTTCCCATTGAGTGAAGGGTCGTGCCGTAGCCGCGACGGATTGTCAAGAAGAGGAAAAGGTGCTGCCACAAACTCACTGGAGCTTCCAAAGTGTGTAGTGTATCAAGCACATTTAAATATTTTTAAATTTGAATTTCTTCCGTCTCAGCTGAAGCCATTGCCAAATGCATTAGAGGAATCGACAGTTTAAAGTGGACCCTTATCTTACTTTGTTGCTTGTGCTATATTTACATCTAATGTTCTGAGTTTGTACACTTTTTTTACTAGAAATTGCCAGGTTCTCGTGTGCTCACCAACAATAACAGGATATGGAATGTGTCTTACTTTTGAGTGTCTAAAATTGATCATTTCCCGAAGATGTCAGTAATACAGTGAACAGATATTTCATATAATATCCTTTTTTATTCTAAAGATGAATAGATATATACAAACAGAATTGAGAAAATAACAAGTGAAATTCACTACTACTTTGTAAACATGTACTGCAAGGTTTGACTTCAATGATTCAAAGAAAGTAATTACATTCAACCTTTGCCTGCTAAAGAGCCTAACTCTTAAAGTGACTTGATATTTAATTAATTAAGAACAGAAATTTAATATGTATTGTGTAAAGCTGATACATCTAAATAACAAATGCAATAAAGAATATTTTAGTGAGAGATGTAATATGTTAGAATTACAACGTAGCATACCATTGTTTTAACAGAATGTTGCCACTAACCGCACCCAATAACATATTTATTCTTGTAAATCCAATAAATGAGAAAATGAAGTGAAATATGATACATTATCTAGGTACAAAGTAGAGAGAAAAACGATTAGAATATATGTGAATATCTGTTTCAATTCATACAAGTCAAAAGAAATATCATGATTGACTATAGTTATGTTTGCCTCCACACTAAATATAAATCACCTTTTCTGAACACCATTCTGATCTTTTGCAGTTTGTGCAACAAAAACTATATGTATTTTTGAAAGAGGGATAAAATATACACCATATTCCACCCTGAAGGAATTACTGACATTTTGTGCAGTATTAAAAAATGCAATGCAAATTGGTCACACATTATCTCAGATCTTGTTGAATTAGAATTTTTTTAACCTACCAATATAATAATAGCAGGTTACATTGACTACTCTGATGACTATAAACAATCTCCTTACAAAATACATAACTAAGCTTAAACACATATTTTATATACACATCCCCACTTACCAAACAGACTGGACAAGCCGCAATTACATCCAATATGCCAGAATTAAATTAAATATCTTTTGGATTATTGAGGTTAACCAGAAGAAATGTGTTTCCATATATTTAAACAATTGATTGTTGGCAAGCACAGAGTGGTCTTAATCCATGAAAATAAAGCGATACAACTTTTTTTTGGTCTTGTAAAATACTTTGTAATAAGCAAACAATAAATATACAAATAATATGCAATATAATGCCATGTCAACCAATGAGTAACACTGACAATAAATGAAAGAAGCAATACAATATTTGAAGATATAATGTAATACAATGTTAAAAAGAAATCACTTTAAAATTTAATGAAATCTAATAGGACTATTTCTCTAGTTCTAACATAACTTGAATTTAAAATGTTCATAAGACATAATGTAAAGATCTGGGTCAAGTTAATACAGGGCACATGTTTATTAGCAGCCCAAATGCCACATATCACCAAATGCTGACTAATATGAACGACCAAAAATTTACAAAGCCACTAGGTGTTCACTTTCACTTTATCTTAAATACACGTCCAATCAATCTATGAAATACAATATATTTACAGAGTATCTGAAATAGAGATAATGTGTGCCATGTAGCCAATCACAGAGACCTTTTCCAACTACTAGCTCCACTTGCAAAGTACCTTACAGAACACTTTTTGATCACCTTTGTCAAAATGGAAGAAGGCTCTGTAATCAAACAGACAACTGACAATCACTAACATAAATGCATCACAACAGTGAATGCCAGAAAGATTCTTATATCAGATACATTTAATAGAATAAAATCAAAGAGTGTGAGAGCACTCAAATAGTGCAATTAATGGTTGATTACAGGTAAAATAAACTGTAATTATTAATTATGAGTCACAATATATATTTTTGTGACCCACAGGTTCATCATAGATTCAGTCCTTTTGACGCATCTTTGAAGCAATAAATAAAGATACAGGAGTGTGATTTGTCAGGTTTCCCACACGGGGGTCCCCAGACCCGTTCATCTCATTCAATATAATTTTCTACCATACAGCCTGAGTATGTACATATCACTTTACACAGGTTTCTCTATGTACAATAGATGTCATATCACACTTAGGGCTAAGAATTTTTTTGTAGTCGCCTTTGCCTCTGCTTGTCTATGGTCTCCATTTCTGCTATTGTTAAAGTTCCTAGTGGTGCAGCTCCCTGTTAGTGATAAACAGATCAAAATTACTGACATTGCAATACCCTTAGTGCTGTTAATAACAGTTTCATTAGGAGGGATTTTACGGTTGCCAACTCTATGTATTTGCAAACATTCTATGCATTATTAGGATGGAATACCATTATTTACAAGTGTTATTCTATTGTTAAGAAAATGTTAGACAATAGATCTACTGTCACGCTGGCAACTCTGTTCATTGATTGAGTTTAAACACCGAGAACACAGGATATATAATAATTTCACAGGGGTCCATTCCATTATGAACAGGATAAAAAATAGATATTAAATAAGTTTGATAATGAAAAACATCAAACATAAAATATACATGCAAAAAGAAAACAAAGCAGTATGTTTAAGGGGGTTTTGCCATGCTATATCAAAACAAAACATTCAGCATGTAACAGAATTATGAATATGAAGCTCTCTACAATCTGTGAGTGTAAGATCCTTACTCCTCTTTCCAATATCATTCAACATGCATTTTCTCTAAGTCAAAGGGGCTGGCTTTACATCTTGGACATCTTGACACAGGTCATACAGTGTCATCACCTTATTTCCGTCCAAAGAATATGCACAAGGCGTGTCAAAGCCAGGTACACCCTGTTATACATGAAAAATCTTATCATGCAAAATGTATTAGTAGTTCAAAATATTTTAATACTATAACAGAATAAGAGTGTTTCACCAAATTTACATTTTTAAAAAAAAAACAAAAATCAGAATGATAGAACTGTCATTAGGTTACGGAACTCAATTTCAACATCTAAGTCATCAAACTGAACACAAACAGCAAAGAAAAAGATATAAAACAGTTTCATGCTGCTGTTAGGAAGTAGATATGGAAATGAAATGGTGCAAGCCATGCAGCAAAAAAAAAAAAAAAAAAACTATTTAAAAATGAGAAAAACAAAACAGACAGAGCTCAGCAATTTTCAGGAATTTCATGTTGCCGTTTCATATCATTCTCAGCACAACATAAGATTCTATCATCCATAAACACAGAATGCATAATACTACAACTACTACAGGTAACTGCTGCTGCTGTTACTCTACAATGAAACACAAATGCACCCCCTTCCCATAATACTTGAGATTTGCAAAAGAAAAAAATTACAGCCTCAAAGATTTTTTTCAGAGCTCTGTTTGCATACATTTTGTTCCCTCAGTTTACCTGCTGTGGTCTCCAACTACACCCTGGTAATGGCAAACCATCCTCTCCAATAGGACACGGGGCATCCAGACCAGGGGCGCCCTGATACCCAAAGCAAGCACAGCAAAGTCAGACACAGGAAGAGAAAAGAGCCTCCCATACTGCCACCATTACTACTATGCTAATGGCTGTTATACATTGATTGGTTTTAAATATAGTTTTAAGACATATATATTATGCTGATAGGAGAGAATAATATTTTGTTGGTTTAGTAAAATGAGATTAACTGGTATATTGTTATGGCCAGTTAACCAGTAAAAAGAAAAACAAGTTCAATAAGAGAAAATCTGTATTTGTTTTCAAACATATCCGTGGCCTGGTTAAGTCTTTTCACAAATAACATATTTTCAGAACCAATTCTCTGTACTTAAAATGCACAAAAAATGACAACTTTATTTCAAACCAGGAATACATTTAAAATGACGTATTACTGCCCACCGTTTGCACAAAATATATCAATTTTGTAGATGAAAGTGAATCTGGGTCTGATTTAATGGCCTAAATTTATTTATTTACACTATGATAAATAATCCAAGAAAGAGTGACTATCTACAGGAGCCCAACCCTTCACAGAGGTTGATGGGTTTAAAATGCACGAGAAGGAAAAGTGGTTTGCTCTGTACATTCTCTGTGGAATTTAGGATCATCCGAAAAAATTGATGGAGGCCAGTTTCACAAAAATTAGTAACTTATTAATAATCCAGTCTTGAGTAAATGTTTAATATATCTATACGACGTTTACATATCATCATCAATAAGTAATAAGTCATTAATGTCGAACAAAACTGGCCTCCAATAGACTAAATGAAAAAGAGAGAGAGAAAGAGAAAGAGAGAGCATGACAGTGTTATAATAAAAGTTATACTGTTGCCACCAAGCCAAAGCTGTGAGAAGAGCAAGAACCGTGGTGCAGTCTTCAACAGTGACAGGAACAGTGTGGTTTGTGTGCAGTCGTGGGGCTCACCTGTTCTCCTTTACTTCCTTTCATTCCCTGTCGTCCACGTCTGCCTCTTCTTCCCTGCATAAATAAGGAAAGAAAGTTGAAACACACTGGCAATGCTAATGCATTTATATGTCTAAACCGTTTAAATCCCTTTGAAAGATATTGTTCATAAAATTATACACGATTATTTTGATTGGTGTATACATTTTGCTCAATACATTATGTTCACCAAAAGACAAAAAATAATTGAAAACTGCTGCCTGGGCACTGTTATCAAAAGAGTTATATAAGTACATCAACATTGGAAATTCAGACACTGGCAATTTGAATAGATTTAAATGTAAATCATCCTTTAACAAATACTGTACTCTCAGAATCTCCTAACTGACCCTTGACCTCATTCAACATAGGATAAATGGCAAATTTCCATTAATATTTCACTTCAAAGTAAGACATAATCTCTTGAACCCACTGTTTAAATAAAATAGCCTCAATATGTAACTAAAATGGACTGGGTGGAGACCTAGACAAATTATTTAACTTTTACAGTATTAACCACTGATGCCTTCTGGATTAAAATGTTCCTGTGCCTGCTCTTCACTAATATGTGAATCTGTGCAAAAATCAAAACAATTTAAACTAAAATATGACTAATTTCACACAAATATTTTCCACAAGATCCAGACACTATAATAATAATAATAATAATAATAATAATAATAATAATAATAATAATAATAATAATAATAATCACATATAAATGTAAATGACTAAAGCTGTAGCAGTGCTGGCAAATGTAAAGATGAGACGTGTTTACAACTACTATTAGTCTAACTTGAACCAAAAATGGTCCAACAAACATCATCCAAACAACAGACACAAACTATCCAATGCCGCAACATCTGATTTTACACCCCATATCAAAGCAATGAAGTTAAATGATGATGTCAGTTGGGCAACTTTCGATTCAAGTCAGGCCTGGTGTAAATGCGCCTTATTCACTCAGTGCTAAGAGCATGCAATTTAACTGCCTTTTTTTCTGAATACAAACAGACACATTTACAATACACAAAATGATCACTTTTCACTTCCATTACTCTGAATTATTGAGAATCCTTGAAATCAAACTAGCTTAAATTCATCATTTTAGTTTGGCTTTAAAAAGGTAGCCTTCACTGGCCAAATATCAATAAATCTACATATAGTAGCTGTCACTGATCCTGTTTATAAATCTCACAATTTCATAAAATGTTACACCAACTGAAACAATATATTTTATGTTCTGCTTGACATATTCTCTACAATAAATAAGATTCTGTCAATTCTGTTGTAGACATATTTCAAAATACTGACACACTGAAGAAACAGTGTCATTCCCCAAAACACAATGCCACCCTGGCAATAACGAAATGATAATTTATGTGAATCTGACCTCATTTCCCTTGCTTCCGGGTTCACCTTTTACCCCGGGCAATCCCTGGAGCAATGAAAATTAATGAGAAAATTATATTGAATAAAAACATTAATTTATCTCTGCATCTTTTAATAAGTAAAAAAATATTTCAAATGATTTGTGTTGAATTAAATAATATAGTTCTATCACTGCAATCTCTTAAATTTTCATATTTTTTGCCTCTTTATAGATTCTACATATGCTGACATAAATAAGTTAACATATCACTGACGTGAGCCTTAAAGGTACAATGAAGACTGTTTTTGTACTTGGAAAAATAAATATGGGTCTTTTATAAATTGATAATGCACGAAATTAATAGAAATGGCATTGTGTCTTTAACATGTGGTTAGAAAGCATACTTTTCCAATAATATACATGCAGTGCCTTATGATGTATTTGCACACATACTAATTGCATAGACATGCACATTACCAGTGTACAGTTTACTTGCAGTTATGATGACTACTTTTATACTTTCTACAGAGTAAAGTCCGAAAAATCTAAATAAGTTCTTTGCAAGGGATGTTTTTTCAAACAGAAATAACATTAAAGTTTGTATTAGCTTGGGTGATCTCATTCTTGAAAACATAAATAAAGAAGAATAACAGAAAGTCTTTAAATCTATAGGAAAAACATATATCCAAGTACAACATTTTGACGTTATGGCAGAGAGAGCACAGATGCTTTCCATCATGCTTTACACGTTAACTGAAAATGCAAACTGAAAGTACACACAAAAAATATACAATTTGTGCTTAAATTAAAAAAAGCTGTTCATTTTATTTTTAGTTAAAAATCAATATAATGTTAGTGGCGTCCTCACCTGAGGCCCTATCAGGCCATCTCCACCCTAAATTAGAACAGTCAATTTTGGACAACATGGCAATGAAACTGTGATCATCACAATAACTTTTCTAACTTCAAATTGTTTGTGAGTAATACTAAGAAAGTCAAAATTGTAAAATATAACATGTCTGCGACTTTTTGTTGAAAAATATGCAGCAAACATTCATAACCTTATGCTATAAAGGATGATTATGGTGACCAGACAAATACTGCTGAAATTGTGAGACTATAACACATAATCTATCTCAGTCAAGACATTTTTCAAGAGATTTTATATAAGGACAATAATGCCTGTAACAATACTTGATCATGACAACATGTGAAAAACATTCATCATCAAATGTCATTTGACAACTAAGACCAGCCACATTGACAATAAAGAACACAACAAGTAGTGCAATTAGAAAGCCTCTATGCCAAACAAGTGAAATATAATTATCTTTAGGATATGTTTCATGCACCATATGAGATGTTAAATATTTAACATTAAGAGCAACTTCTCTTTCACCACAAGGTTTAGAAACTAGAGCATAATCTTTAAACGCACTACAAAATAGGCATAGTTAATAAGAGATGTGGCATTTATTTCCTGACAAGTATTTTAAAAAGGTTATTCCATCTTTTAAAAGGTTATAAATTTGATAAAAGGTGCAATAAACAGATACATTATGTAAAGGCAACTTTTCTTTTCTCTCCATTTCTTTAAAGACAATTTTATCAAATATTGGATATAAAATAATTCTGATCAGCCACATGAAGCAGGATCTATAATATGGGGGAAAGTAATGTTGCCTTGTGCTGGGTCAAGCTTTATGTTCATATTTCTTATAAAATAATTTGATGAAAACAAAACTTAATATTTCATTTACAGAAGCAAATTATTTTTGATTTGGTGTAAAATTCCCTGCATTAGACAGAATCAAGGCCATATAGTGGATGATTATGCTCTAATTTAACTGTCTTTTTTGTCGTGTGTTTTTTTTTTTAATCCAAGCCTTACCCTGTCTCCCTTCTCTCCCCTATATCCCCTTTCTCCAAATTCTCCTTTTGGACCTGGTGGCCCCTGAAATACAAAATATTCACATAATGTCTTGTATACGAGCATTAAATCACGCTCGCCTCAAACAGATATATTGTAAATATTGAATCAAATATATTTTTCAAGTGAATATATTACAGCCATAGCAGCTGAAGTCTAACATAGTTGTTTACTTGAGTGTATTTTCTAATCCAATCTAAAATAAAAATGGATATCCCAGCAAATTTGTGAAGTCCCTTGAGTGACTTCTTCTCCATTGTATTTTCACAAAAAATGAAACATAAATTGAAACATCAAATAAGTTCATGCTGCAAAAATATTAAAACAGTGATCACAGTAAGAATTTATTCTTTTACTTACAATTATAATAAAAAAAGGACAAAAAAGTTATGTTCTCTGCTGTTCTAATTCATACATCCCACCTATCAATCAACCAACCATTCAGCCAATCGATCAATCATTCATTTAATGGCAACATACTAACTACTACTCTGTGCATTAAAAGTGCTGTGAAGCATGGACGATGCTTTGCGCTGGGTGCAGTTTTCTAATGCATCTTTCAATCAAGAGAACTTTTACAGCCACAGCCAGCCACTGAAGCAAAGTTTAATGCTACACTTTCTAAAAAATGGAAATCATATTGCAGGCAGCCAAAGATTACAGTTACCTACCTTGACCATCCTTATTCTTTTATGACTTGTATCTTTCTACCAACACTGACAACATTACTTTATAACAGTTTACTTAACTGTCTTTCAGTGTCTGTTGCGTGTAGTGACATCCACAAGTTCTTTTTTTAATGAGATCCAATTAAAGCAAACAAAACTTCTAAAACAACCTACATGCAAACTGAAGAACAAAACAGATGTTCTACCTGACAATGCTCAAGATGGATAAAAGAGGCCGATATGCCAAATTCAAGTGTCATAGCCAAGATATCAATGGGATTTTGACTGTTTGAAAATTATCTCAAAACTGCAAGTATAAAAGCAACAGAAACAGAAAAAATTGGCTATGTACATTCTTGAGAGATTTCAAGGCACACCTTCTTTTGTTAATCTAAGGATTGACAGGCAGATTTTAATACAACTTAAAACATATATGAAAACCTACCAGCACATTCCTCCATCTTAATGCAATCAATCCAATAAAAGTATATTTGAATGTCTTCCTTTTTCACACATAATGTGATAATCCCAAGACAATTCCATCCCTATATACATACTTGTACTTAAAACTAATTAATAAATCAATATATACATAAATAAAAGGGAAAGCTCATCCTCCTACATCCTAAATCCAAAAGACAACTTACCGGTATGCCATCTGTTCCCGGAATACCTGCTCCCGCTGGTCCCATGGCACCCTATCACATACATTGACAACATTCAGCAGTGAGAATAGTGCAGAAGCAAAGAGAAGAAGCATTGTTTGACTTGTGCAGAGTCTCAATATCAGTAGTGGAGAGGATTCTTTATAAAACTCCAATGTATTTTCCCTTTTGTACTTTCTTTGGATTTAACTTTTAGGTATAAAATTCTGGACATTTGGAGTCAAATGTCAATCATTTTCATTTGCTGAATATCACACAAATGTCCCAGCAGTTATTAGAATTGAAAATGTGGTAAATTCAACATTTAGTCTTTAACCCCCCCCCCCTCCCTCAATCCAGATCCGCTACTGTTTTATGAGATAGTTATAACTACTGAAGAAGTTTACTTGCTTTAAGGTAGACCATTTCTTTGGAATGATGTACATTATATCAATGAAACAGCTGTAATAATGAAAACTTTGAAACAGATAGTTGATAAAACTGTGATTCTAAGTACTGGATACATCAGATCATCATCTCCATCAAATATACCAGAGTTCTTTATTAAATATTATCTGGCAGCACAATATCAAATTTATAGTCTCCTTCGTGCCAAATGGATATTTGATGAGAACTGCCAATTTAGTAAAGGCATTGTGATAATTTTTAAAAACAAAATCAATTTAAGTTAATGGATGGATGAAGATGTTCTGAGATGATCCATACACCTGAAACTTTGTGCTCAAGACTGGTGCAATATACATTAAGCTGGTTTTAAGACCAAGACACACAGTGACTTGCTTTATGTCATATATTAAAAAATGTATCTTTGCATGATGTGTCAATCAAATATCTAAGCCATACACTGTGGTAAAATCTGGAAAAGTGCAGGGCCTTGCTCAGAGTGGTGATACAACATTTTCTGAATGAAACGGGTTGGGAAAATCAGTATCAGCAAGAGTTTGATAATTGTGGGAAAGAAAGGAATGGAGAGAGAAAAGAGGATAAGGTTTGTCTATTTCTGTCATCACTTGTACCAGTGGAATATTTTAGATTGCACTCGGCACCAGTTTGAGCAGAGGTGGTCTAATACGCTAACAAAGATATATACATAAACACAATGTCTCTTTTTTCATTAACAAGGGTACACTTTACAGATCTATAGAGCAAGCTCAGCTCAACTTTGAATTGGTGTTGACAAAAGAATGGCAGTGCAACATCCAAAAGAGCATGAGCCAAACATTTATATCACATTTTATTCAAAAAGAGGTATGATAAGTTAGGCATATGAAAGTGCAGGGGACAGAATAAAATGACATACACTGGCAATGTGAAATTGCCAAAATCCAGGTATACTAATAGTATATTATATATATTCAGTAATAAATATTCAGTGGCATTTCTCTAGGTACATCATGCTTGCAGGATATGGAGTCTGGCATACTACAATCCATGCGCCAACTTACTGGGAGTCCCATGGGCCCAGAGTCCCCCTTTTCTCCTGTGAAACCCTGGGTAACAAAAACATTAAAAGGGTTTGGGTTAAACTAAAAAACCCTACCTAATATACTCAGGTAAGCAGAAAAAAAAGCGTTTGAATGATTGCCTGCATTTAGGAAAGAAAGCCAAATGTTTTAAAACACATATATGAGGAGCACATTGGTGAAATTCAACTGAAAGTAAGCGACAGCAAAACTGAAAATCAATTTAAAAGTAGCTTGTCTACACGCTATTGGTCCAGGGACAGCTCCTTTTAAGGGGCAAACTAACAAAATCTTTCTTACACTGACCATGTAAAGAAAAACGATTTTCACCTTTAAACAGACAAAACAAAGCTGGGTAACTGGTGAAATGTCAAGGAGGAAGCTTCTAATGGTTTCAGGGGTTGAAAAAATGGCAATAATATGAATCAATTTTGTTCAAATAAACATAGCTTCATGCATATTGAAAAGCACATCAGTATACAATTGTATCAATTGACATGCAAATCTTTCATGGACAAGTAAATAGAATGACAAAAAAATAAAAAAATAAATAAATAAATAAATAAATTGTAGTACTGAGTCTCTATTACTAAGGCACAGGGGGTGAAAAGTTATCCTTGTATTTTTTATGTGTTCATTCTATATCTAATTGCCTTAAAACATAACAGAAAAAAAATTTTTTTTTAATCTCTATTATCCCAAACTTATGTAATTACCACCATTTTGTTTTCTTTTCTTTTACAAAAGATAAATTTAAAATCTTTTAAAAATGGCATATTTATATCATATAAGGGTAACCAATCAAAAGCCTCTCTTTATATTGAAATAAAACAATATCCCCTATGCCTTCTGCAAAACATTCAAATAACATGCAGAAACCTCCAGTATTATCAATAATGGTGCACATTAACGTATTAAAAACAGACTGTTACAGGGAAACTGAAACGTAATGAATCTTTTTTTTTTTTTAATATCTTGTCATGCAAAAAATTAATAAATAAATAAATAAATAAATAAATAAATAAATAAATAAATAAAATAAAATCGAGAATCTAAAGAGCTAGTTAGGTCAATATTTATAGTTAAAAAAACTAACAACAATTAAAAAGCTGATTAAAAAATAAAAAGGTTGGGTTGGGCATAAAGAAATTAAACTTACTATGAGCTAAGGGTAGGCAAAATATTGAACTGATCAAAGATCAGTAGTAAGCATCCAAAAATCAAGTTTCACTCATCTAGTGGGGCTTGGCTATTTTCCTGACTGATCTACTTTTAAATTAAAAGAACAGGGACTGGAATTTCAAACATTTCATATTATGCCATGCTAGATAACATGCATAGATCGAAATCATATGTACCAGATCACCCTTGGGTCCTCTCATGCCTTGTTCACCCTTTGAAAGAGAAAAAAATGGTTCACTTTTTAATTCCACTTTGATGACTTCCGTTAAGGACCATGGAAAAGAGGCTAGGGCACTAATCAGAGTGTGTGATATCAGAAATGAAGCTGAATAACCTGTTCTTTCAGATAAAACACAGTTTGCAAAACCTTGAAATCAGCCAACCAAAGACAACTTTACCATCTATATCTACAAATAAACTATTTATCAATTTATCCATTTATTTATTTCAATGTTTAATGGTGTTGTATAAAAAAATGAAGTACCTTGATGCCTGGAGGCCCTTGAAGGCCCATTGGACCCTAAAAACAATAGTCAGTGAATTAGAGGGTGCACACTTCAACTGGAGATATGACAAGAGGTAAAGCAAAGTTTAAAATAAAGCAGCCTTTAGGACAGTTCTTGACAGTAAAAAAGACTGAAAATATCAGTAAGGCCCTGCTCCCAACAAGCTCCCAAACTCCCATTATCACTTACCGTTTATTGAGCTTCCCTCTGAAAGTATATTTATCACAATGATACCTGCTGTTTCACATAACTGATCTTTTATCTTTATTTTTATGTTTCATTTTTCATAATTGCATTGTTTTTCCTTCTTACCATAGGTCCTGGTGGTCCAGGAGGTCCAATTAGCTAAAATGTAAATAAATAAATAAGCAGGTAAACAAGAATGTTATCAATTATTTAACAAACTTGATAATGTATTCGGAGTAATTACAAAACATCTACAACATTACTGTTCTGTACACAAAAACTTGCAATTTCTAATACTCTAACTTTCAACTCTATTTTACTGTTTCTGACATTCTAAACTTCAACTCCATTTTACTGTGTCTTTCTTTCAAGATGTAAAAACTGATCTAAGAGAAATAGAAAGCATACTGCACAAGCTTGAACCATTTGAAAAATTTGATAATAAAAACATTAAAATGTTAGTAAGCCTGTTTTAACTGACCCCTTCACCACTGGCTCCTTCTATTGATCCTGGCTCACCCTGAAGATGACCAAAGATAGGTGCATTAACTAGTAAGCAGTGCCGTAAAGAAAATTTTATCCCATCCTACTACAGATACTACGTATTACAACCTTCACCTCATTTGTTTAAAGGAACTCTCCACGGGCTTTACCTTCCAAAATTAGTTTTCTTGGGGTTAAGGGCATTTTTCTCCTACTCATCAATCATTGGCTGACCTGCCCCTGCACTTTCATTTAGAAAAATGTTCAATTTTTTATTTAATAATTTAGTTCTAAATGACTAGACAATCGTTTAGAAGGACATAACTGTCCTGACTGTCATCTTCACAACTTTGTGTTCACACACGAAAATGGCTTGGTGATTTGTATCGCAGCCCTGAACCATGTATACTGCAGACACTGGGAGATGCCATGAAAGTTGAGAAGAAAGTAACGGAACTAGTTATACTTTTATTTATAAGTCTTCATTGGGAAATATAAGAAGCTTTGACAGATGAAGATACGTCCCCGAGGGATTTTCAAATGTATGGAGAGTTCTTTTAAATGATAATGATGAAAAACAATTACCCAGGTGGGTTGTCTTTTCATATGAAATACTTTTCAAACCTTGTGAAATGATATTCAGGGCCCCTTTCACAAAATACTGAAAATTGACCTGAACTTATACACCAAAATAACTTAAAAGTATGTGAGTTAAGTCCCGAAAACTTTGTGGTCCATGATGTTGTTCATGTTGCTTTGGGAGGGGGCATGGGGCTTTTTCTGCATAGAAACAATACATCAATTTTACAAATATCCATTGGTGAAAAAGTACATCTTGAATCTAAAATGAAGACGGGCAAAAATGCTATAAAACAATTTCTTTCTGAGCCAAGACCTCCACCTCATTAAATTTGGGCTCACTCCTGGTTTCAATTATCTTTAACCAAAGACCTGCATGCTTTCACCTTCTCGAACTGAATCCATGTTAAATTTGGTGAAAATATGAGCAAACTCCATTCAGTTTCATCAGCCAAATAAGAGTGCTAATAGCATTTGGTTAAAAATCACCACCACCATTTTTATCACTAATTAATAAATCTCACGACAGGCATCTCCAGTAACTCATCATCATCATCATCCTGTCCTCCTTCCCTTTTCATAGGCTAAAATATAAAGCATGCAATTTTTTTTCTAACAATATATATATATATATATATATATGGGAATTTTAGCAAGACTGAAACATTTGTTATGCTGATGGTAATTCATACAGGTCGTCGTCTATCTTCTCTCATCCTGAAATTTAATAACCATACATGTATTTGTTGCAAATCCTGTATAAAATCCCTCCAACTTCTGAGTTTGTTCATAAGAGTCCAATAAACACATATGGCATACACAGTATGACTGCTGACATTTTATGTGAAAAATTATCAAACATAACACAAACTGGCAGATAAACTGTTTCATAAAAAAATAAATACACATGCATTGCTTTGTAGGTCCATTAATTTAAACGGTTCAACAAAATTATGATCATTTATATGAGGGACCCCATATCACAAAGTATATAAAGATAGCTATTTGTTTTTCTATATAGTATCTTATATTATTTGTGAAACAGGTACCTGGGTTAAGAATTCAAACCAGCCACAAGATTATGGTAATGACTCGATCTTTTCAATGAGGAAAAACTAATAATTTTTCAGATACATGATTTTAAAATCATTAAAAGTATATTTCTTTGTAGCATATGTAGTGCTTTTTCTGTATACAATAGAACTATAAGGTAGCTTGTTTATCAGTTTTGTTGCTATCACTCAAAACGAGTTTTCTAACTTTAAGAATTTGACTTGAGAAATACAATATCTGTAAAATTCATAATTTTTCCCCATTGAAAAGATCGAGTCACTAATGTATACCCGTCATGCCAATCTTGAATGGGAATGTACGTATTGGAACTTCACTTCCAAATTTGAAAAATTAGATGAAAAAACAATATTAATAGTGATAGTAGACTACTGGAGACTACTACAGAGCGCTAGAATTTCCAACTTCTATACACTTTAAAAAGCAGTACTCACAGGAGGTCCTGGTAGACCCGGTGGTCCTATTAACCCTGTCTCGCCCATGTCACCTTTGTCTCCCTTAAAACCTGGAGCACCCTACACCACCAGAGACATAGTAGAGTTAAAGTCAAAGAAAAGCAAGAAACCCATTGCTGTCTACTAGAAACTAAGTTAATAAAAGATATGTGAGTGGAATCAAGATAAATTATTAAAAGAAAATTATTTTAATATAATATGATGTATTTGATTCTTTGTATTTGAAAATAGGGGTCTTCTTTTTTCAAATTTGGCTTTTATTTCTTTTACAAATTATCTCTGAATAAGATTTTAAAAAATGATGTAAGAAACAGCTCCAGTTCATTGAATGAAGCAATCTGTGACTGGCAATGAAATGCAAGCTGGTGAAGTATTCAACATATAAATTAAAACATATAAATTGCATAAGTTTTAGCTTCATTTTTTTACTTTCAGAAATGGGGTGCAATTGGATTATACAAAGTTGAAAATATCCCTTCTCTCCCAATTTTATGCCCATTTTTTTGTATAATGTAAAAACCAGAAACATGAACTCACATGTCGTCCTGGTTCACCATCTCTACCATCTTTGCCTGTAAAGCCAATAGGGCCCGGCTCTCCCTTCACAAGTTCATAATGAAATGCAAATAGATCTCATTAATTTCAAAATCTACCAATTAAAATTTTGATTATAAGCCCTAAGTAGATGTTATCAGTACAAGTCATATGAAAGTTATATCCAAAGACAGGCATGATAAGTACTAAGTCATTCTTGAATTACGTCTAATTTTATTCTCCTAAATTCTAAAACCTGGAAGGCTGTTTTGCTAATATGCCAAAAATGGAAAATAAGCTGATATCAAAACAATGAACATGGAAATAGAAACTACCATAAAATTTAATTTATAAACCATATATAAATAGTGAAACTCACAGTGCAAATCACATGCAGGATAGGAGAGACAGTGATTTTTGTATTGCTCAAACATACCGTAAATATCCATAGAAAACAAAAAGTCAATCTAGAACCTTCATACTCATACAACAGGAAACGTGGTACTTAAAAATGTGTTGTTCTGAGACATCAAATCATAAAATATCTGAGATAATCGCAATAAGAAATGGTATTTCTACCTTTGCCCCTGGCATGCCCATATCCCCCTTTTGCCCAGTGAGGCCTGGTAACCCAGGGGGGCCCTGTAGCTCATGGAGATCTTTTGGTATTTTCCCCTGGAAAAAAGCCATCCTGGGGTTTATGCCATGCAGGACATTCAGCACTTGTAAGGATCCTGCTTGACCAAGCTTCATCACTGATCATGAACCGTAGCTTTTCAGAAATCATTTGGATTATAAGAAAGCAACATAGAGTATTCCTTCCAAACTAGGCTATTAAGCCCCGAGAAATGTCTTTAAATTCATAGGGGATCAGCGTTTAATAAAATAACATTATCAAATCAGAACATCGATGCAGTTCAAATCTTGCATTTAGTTCTCTCTTTTTCTTTTTCTACTTTTCATGTTCCAAGAAATTCAAAACTTTTATTGAGTATCAGAATACTTCAAAGCAACCTGAGATACCTTGGTGACCAATGATGATCAAAAATCAAGCACAAGTGCTGGTGATGAGTATAAACTAAAACAAAACTCTCTAAAGTGAAAATGCCCACGTCTATCTGTGTCTGTCTAAATAGGGGGTGTCTGGCTGGACCATGCATGGTGGTCACACTTAAGGCCAGGACTTTACCTGTGGTCCTGGAAGGCCAAAAGAACCCTTTAACCCCCTTGGACCAATGGGTCCTGGTTGCCCTGGGAGACCTGAGGGACCAGGAAAACCAGGCAAACCTTGGTCTCCCTTTTCTCCATAACCCTACAGAAATAAACCCAAGTCAACTACAATGAGATTTTCTTTTATCATCTGGGATTTTTTCCAATATCATAGAGAGGTTGAATTAGTGTAAATTTATATAATTATATATTTCAGTGGTGTATCATGATACCAATATATTATTAATTCAGATTTAAGTACACATCATAAGTATACAGATTGGTGAATTTCACACAGTAAATAAATTCAGTACGGATTACAATTCCCTTGACTAACCACAAATAAGAACAGTTATGATAGATTCTAACAATATCTAAACAATGAAGACAAATAAGCTGTTAAAAAGGAATGGAAAGACCAACCACCACAAAAAGTAAAAATGGAAATTATAATATGTAAGCAATTTGCCCATTAACCACTTACCTCTGGAGCAAAGCAACACTCACAACTTGAAGTTCGTTAACCCACAACTTTAACAACTCACTGCATGTGAGTGTATAATCAAACTACCAACAATAACCAAAGCTTATGGCATAAAGGATACATTTTATAACAGTCATCATTTCATTCACTCATCTTAAATTACGACTAGACTGGACATCTTACCCTGCGGCCTCTGGACCCCTTGTCTCCTTTCTCTCCCTTATCACCCTGTGGGCCTGGCTTACCGACACCAGGTTCTCCCTAAAGACAAAACAGACGTTTATATACCACAAAGAAACAGTTCTCCTATATAAATGCTAATTCCCATGCATCAAATTTATTGTTTTTATGGAATTGGTACAAATGGACCTTGGTAAAAATATATGTGTGTATTCACACTACAGTAGTTACATATAGCTACCTACAGTCAAGTTATCTCCTGATAGGAAACTTAAAAAAAAACATGCAGTAACATCCAATTTAATTTGAACACATGCCATACAATACAACCACAATGTGAGATTATCAAAATTGCTAAAAAGCAAGCTAGAAAACAAGCACCAGAGTTACAACCGAAAAGTAGAAAAGAAGGCTATAATAAAGTGTCATTAAACTTGAACATGTATCATAAATTAGAGGAAAAGCAATTTCGATCATGATCAAAACTGAGATTTATATTTTATATTGCAGGTTTGCTGAACAAGAGGACATTTCCTGTATCCTGTGCTCAATCAGGTTCCAAAAATTAAACATTATTTTAACAATCTTCATGAAGAAGATCTGAACAAAGTAGATGCCAAATAAACAAACACAAAATATAAATCACACAGAACATGTCTCGCACATCAGAAGGAACACATAGTTTATACAATTGAGGACGAAAACCCGACTTAACAACAAAATAAATGTAGTACACATATGGCACTGTAATGACTATAGAGCCACAGCATCTGAATGAACTTCCCTTTTGTATTTTCTCATTTTTCAAAATGTTTTACATGTATTCTAAAGAGTCACTTCAATACCAATAACATGCATATATACAAAACTTTTCCAATATAATTCTTCAAATATGACAAACAATAAAGATGTGTTTACACCAAAGTTGGGGCAACGTAACTGGAAAGACTTACCTCAGCAAGGCCGTCTAATTATGGCTGATTACTTTCCTGTAGGAAGGGAGTGAGGCACGGGTTGGGGGGGAGGGGGGGAGGTGGAGAAAATTGGATTGACTACCCAATGTGAGCTTAACATAATTAGACAACCTGGAAAATGTGTGGACCATGTTAGTTTGCCCAAACTTGACTGAAAACACACCTTGTGTAACTTCATGCACATCATTAAATAAGCTTTTCCAAGTTTAACACACACTTATGCAACTACAAGGCACTATGTTGTTTTGCTATCTCTGGATCAGTTAGAATTTTGCGCAGATATGCAGCTTCTACTATCTACCACGTTATATAGTAGAGGTTCAACACTGACAATATAGTCAGCACAATTATATACCTCTTTTATTATATCATGTATGATCAAGGCACGCAATTTCCGCTTATTCATCCGTGGAATCTGCAGATGCCGGGCTCTATGTCCCTTAAGTACCGTATATCTGCAGCGATTTGTCCTTTTCTTTTCGAAACAAAAAAAGGAAATAAAGTTATACCATGCCCTAATTAAGAGGTGAGAAATGCATGCAGGCATGCTTGTGCATTTAAATTAATGATTCATGCTCATAAAGGCAAATTTCAGGGCACAAGTCAAGAGATGAATTCCAAGAAGTCCTAGTTTCATTGTGCTATATGGGGTATCAAATCTTATTAAGTCTTTATCTACAGACTACTAACTTTTAGTATATATATAAAGATAATGACTTCAGGGGTACTACCTACCATAACAAAAATGATAAATCTACTGACATGTCTAACTCAGAACAACAAAGCAGTCTCCATTGAAATGAAATCATTTTTACCGTTTTTCCTGGAGGTCCTGGGGGTCCTGGAGGTCCCTGAATCCACAGTGGGTTCCCAGCACCATCTGAAATCATAATTATGATAACATTATTATTGCTATATAATTAGCAGATTAACATCTTATACCTAGGAATGTGCAGTCTGATATAAATCAATATTGACCGTCAGCGACGACAACATCAGCACACTTAACATTGACTGATGAAGTCATTGCCGATTTTTTGACCAATCAGAGAAAAGGACACATGATCAATCAGCATCAATGTTGGGTGACAGTGACCAAGCAACTTTTGATGTTATCTTAGAAGAATTGAAAGTAATGTATTAAATCATACAATAAAACAATTGCTGACTTTTCCTTTTTATCAATATGTTGTTTTGCAAACTAAATCAATAATGTATAATAATAATTTACTCTTAAAAACCATACCACAGAAGGCTCAATGCTAAGTATGAGTTTGAGGTGCAGATGAATGCAGATCAAGCTAAAAGCGTCGTTCCCTTCATGAACAAGATGTGCCGACTTTTAAAAGTTTGTGCCCAGTTTTTATGGATCAAGGCCTGGTTTTCTAATTCAGATCAAAATTTTGCTCTTGCTAAGTTATTATTTCATTTCATGACAATATCTTAAGTACTATTAAAGAGGTTTTCATGGTCTTTCCATAAGATAGGTCTCTAGACAGGTCGTGGACGAAAACATCATGTTTGATCAATGTTATTTAGTCTCTAAGTAAAGAAGTAGTTCATGATACTAAACGATTGGCCTCAAACATTAGCTATTTCTTTTTACAGCATAAAAAAATAATACAAAATTATATTTCAGTAAATTACTACTGATGTATCTTCAGTTAAAGTAGACTTGAATTTTGGTTTAAAAACTGAGACCACCTTCCAGTCTTTGTCCTTTTGGGAAACAGACCTGTTCTACCCCAACTTAATCTCACCTGTGGGAGCACTGTTCCCCGGCTCTCCTCTGTCACCCTTGTAGCCCTAAAACCAGAGCAGAGTCCAGGATTATATCACACGATAAAAATGTTTTACTTTCTTTGACTTTAATATTTCCCAGCAGGGTTTCTACCTACGTGTCATTGCTTACCGATTTATCATCATTTCAGAATATGAAAATCCCCACTTTCTTTTGGTAATGACAGACATTTCTAACTCTATCTTTAAAATTTGCAACAAAGTTACGATTTTTTAAATCATGGAATATTTTATACAGTTCTTTTATAAACATGATATGATTGCAATTTATTAAATTACATATAAAAATTAACATCATGCAAATGCTATGTTCAAACAAATTCTTTCAATTTGATACCAAACCCATCATTCTGTTCCACTTTTGTAGACAAAAATCAAAACAACGTGCAAACTATATTTTTAAAGCATATGAGTCACTAAAAAGGTAAAGCCATTGTACAAAATAATAATAATAACATAGATTTAGGCTTTTTATAGAATTAAGATTTACTTCTAGGGCCTTGGTAAAAATTAACTCTGCCAAATGTCTACAAATGACTTTTCTATTAAGATAACCAGATATGTATGACACTACTACACTTGGTTCATGCAATGCATTCAAGTGAAGGAACCGCACTGTGTACTGCGTGTACTTCAACCTAGATGCATTAAAAATCATGCAAAACCTGAGAACTGAATTTTTAAAAAGAACTGAATGTGAAGCAGCCTTCACTTCATAGTTTGAAAAATTCATAATGCTCCATCTATTCAGTAAGTCATCAGACAAAAAGGAAAATAATGCTCCATACTAAAATCAAATGGACATTTAAATTTTGAAAACATGCAAAACTATATCATATTCAACAGAATTGACAGAACAGGATTTTTCTGTATTACTCAAAGTTCCATGCACTCCTACATAGTATAAGATAACCTTATTTCAGAAAGGAAGGGGGATATAATCTTCCCTTTATCTGCTGATGGCTTAGGGTATAATTTGCCCAATTATCAATAACTTGGTAAAAAGAACCATGCTTCAATCAAGTTATTAACATCCAACTGACCTTTGCAGTTTACCATGTACATAACATCTACCAGTCATGCAAGTGAAGAGCATGCCAAATAAAAACCCAGGCAACACTCACTCTTGCTCCCTGTTCCCCTTGCAACCCAGGGGGGCCAATGTCCCCTTTGGGTCCTGGAAAACCTGTATCTCCCTGAGCTCCCTTTTGTCCTGGTTTTCCGGGATCCCCTGCATCCCCTTTATCTCCCTTATCCCCTGTATCTCCCTTAGGTCCTGGCGGCCCTGGCAAGGCTACGCCATTATACCCTCCATCGTCTCCCTTTTCCCCCTTTTCCCCAGGGAGCCCCTTGCCTGGTGCCCCTGTCATACCCGGCAGGCCTCTAATTCCCATCATACCCTTGGGACCAACATCACCCCTATCCCCTTTAATTCCAGGAGCTCCAGGGATTCCAGGTTCACCATGGAAACCAGGCAGCCCCCGTTTGCCTTCTGAACCTTGTTCGCCCTTTGGACCTGCACGACCCATAGGTCCATCTGGACCTATATTACCCTACATGGCAGAATATGAAGAGTTACCATACAAAATATCCATTCCATTGCCTACTATCAAGCAACCTTCAAATAGATTTAATGTACTGTATAAACCACTATAATTTATTTCGTGGAAATTTCACTAAACTGGTCCTACTGAGATTGACAAGCACCTTATGTTATTCTTAAGATGACAATGAATCCCAGTGACACTAACATCGTACCAACGAATGCAGTATACAAAGTAAAGCAAGGCATAATGTACAATACAGAACAACCAGGGATTTCAACTGTATACCTATAATCATAGTCCGTACATTTTTCAATTTTTATTACCATTGTTTTTGTTACATATTTGAGTATTGCAGAAAGGGCAACCTTTAACAACAGACAGTGGGTTATTCTGATAAGTTTGCCAGATTAATTCAAACTTTAGATTCACAAGTGTAAAAGCACTATGCACTATGTGCATCTGTATATTGGGGTCCTAGTACATATATTTCATGACAATATTTTAATTCACTTACGGGTGGACCTGGTGGACCCTCTGGACCTTTTGGACCCTAAAATGGTACATTATTATACTTTAGAAAGTTGAACACAACTAATAAAGTAGAAATATATTTCTAAATTCTGAACATATCAAATGACAAAAGATTTTCACAAAAGTAAGCAAATATTTGTTCAAAAATTTCCATGACTTTTCCAGCATAAAAAATCTCAGCTATAGTTGGGTAAGACAGGAAATCTCTTTTCTTAAAAGTTATTTTATTTTTTGAAAACAACACTAATACTTACTGGTGGGCCTGGAGGTCCCTGTGGGCCCTGAAATAAAGAGAAAACCCATTTTTATTAAACACGGAAAACAAGTTTTACAGACTTTGTCACTACAATATACTTCTCTTATGTCTTTTTAGCAATGGTCTGTTGAAACTTCTGCTTTGTTACAATCATTCTACTAAATGTTTTTTCAAATAACAAATTAATCTGTAAATATCTAAGTACTGAATGGTATGCCTAAACATCTTAGAAGTTTTTAACTAATAAAATTCAAATATGCATGAATAGTCTCTCTGAGTCTGAACTTCAATATTGATGAAAAAAACACACTAGAAACTAAAGAGTTTAAAAGAAAATATTTTTTCTCAATATCACACAATGATCCTCCAATAAATTAGTATCTTAAACATTCTCTTTCTCTCTCAATTTCGATTCCTGTTAGAACAGCAATCAACATGCAATTAATTTTACTACTATTTGCATTTCCGCATTTTTTTTAAAAACTTGTTGCGTAGTCATAGTACACATCAAGAGAGTGGGCTGACCCTGCTCTGTAACACAACTTATTCACGACACGTGAAGAGATTTTTTCCATTAAAACATTTTTAAATGCAAAGAGAAAAACATAAACAAGACATCAAAGCTGTAAAATGGAAAATGGACAGACAAAAATGAAGAAAAAAAAACCTAATGGATTCAGTGATGGTAAGACTACAAATTGTAAATAACCAATTTAATGATTAAGAGCACAAAATATTTTTTGTCAATTTTAATGCATTATTGCATATTGCTGAATAGCACAATCCCCCAATAGTACTGTTATTGTGGACATTCTGAAAACTTAAATAGTACTAAGTATTAAGCACATGGGAATTTAAAGATACTTCTGGAAGATGCCAATTTATGAAAAATTAAAAAAAAGTCATATCTTTATTCCTTTTGGTCCTATACATCATTATTTTAAAGTTTGAGAGTAATTAAGTAACGTTTTTCAATTTATCATGCTTACAGGCAAAACATCCAAGAAAGTGCATGCCAACACCAACGGCAATGCAACACAGACAGATACAGGTGATAGCTTAATGTCCAGACAAACTGTATCTGTCCATAAATCTATTTTTCCTTTTTTTTTTTTAACAATGACAAATGACCATGGCAGGGTGAGCCCATAGGTGAATTAGTAATCTACAAACATTACCCACCTCAGGCCCTGGTGACCCTCTGCTACCATCTAAACCTGGGATTCCAGTCTCGCCTTTTTCTCCTCTTGGCCCTGGGGGGCCAATCGCCCCTGGCTCCCCCTATAAGTGACATACACTGCATCATGCACACAAGCCAGTGTTATTCTTCTAGCATTTTCAACAAAAAGTACTTAATGTGTAAGTGATCTCATTGAAACAATCAAGTATGGTGGAGTTATTTTTGTATCTAGTTTCTGTTTTAGGTGGTTAGATATTGTTGGCGGTCATTTACCTGTGCATTCATAAAGATATTCAAGTGGTGTCAATACAATTAATGTAAAAATAAATCACTACAAACTAGTTAATGAAAGTGAAAAAATTGTAATCAGTGTCAATTAAAATGCACCATTTTTACAAATCCAACTGAATTTCGTCTTTTCATAGGATGTTTTCAAAAAATAAGTTATACCCATCATCATGTCCTGTTGTGAAGGCAGGAAAAATAAAGATTGAAGAAGAAGAATGAGGACATGTTAGTCACAAACAATAAGTAAATGGTGGATCAATTTGGAACATTTCTGTAAACACTTACATACCAGAAGTTCCAAGATTCTACCTTACTGCAACAGGGCAAAAATTTATACAAGGAGACATTCGGCAATTACAGTAAATTACAATTCCAAAATAAAACAGCATTCTTCAAAATGTCAACTATAAACATGCACCCCAGTCACTCAAAACATTGATATGCATTTCACAACACATGCACATATTGTAACAGAATACCTACCCTTAATACCTCAACTCTGTTTATCAAATCTGGAGTCATGTTGCCGGCATATCCTTTCTGACCTCTCTCTCCCTGGAACATGCAGCATGCAAGTTAACGCACAAACGTTTAAAAAACATGCAATACGAAGGATGTACTGTGCTGCGGGACTGCCAACATCACCATCATCATTGACATCATCAGTGTTTAGTTTCAAAGTGTTACAGAAGCCCCCTTCAATACAGCACAACCTTCCAATACCTTGGCACCATGCAGTAGAAACCTTTTCTGTGCCATCCTCTCACCCAGCCTGACATAACAGGACCTGCGCAATATCTAGATCTACAAATCCAACAAGAGAGCACACTAAAAGATTAATGGGGAAAGAGAGTATATGGGTGGTACTGAACAAATGCCCAACTTAACTTCAGCTTGGTTGACAACATACACCACAGATTTTTGTGAAAAGGAAAAGGGTTTATATTAACATTTTGTACATATCGAAGAAAGGAGTTCCCCCTTATGCCCACCAAAACTTCCACTGAATCAGAAATTGGTAATTATATGGGGGCGGGGGCAGGGGGGGTGCATGTGCACAGTATTCTCCAGTGTCAGGCTCAGGTTCAAGATACACAATCACGCAGTTTTGTACTGACCATAGTACACATGCACGTACTGGAGGTGAAAGACCAAGTACATGAAATGGGACCAACCTTTATGGTGATAACCTCGTACAAGCCGCCCTGGAATGTTGAACATCCATAGAAAATATTACTCAATGACTGTTCACTTTAAAAAATTAAATAAACAAAACTATTAGTGTTATTATTTTTTTTTTGGAGACCTGTCCATATGTGTCGCTGGTTTATCTCCTAACCTTGTACCAAACTCTGAAGGAATGCTGGTAGTCAACGTATATTTGGGGGATGACATCCATGAATTATCAAAAATATTAAAGACTGATTCACATTATCCATCTAAAACATTGAAGTAAGTCTAGCCCAACCTATATTCGACACTTTAAAAAAAATGCAACAATTCACATTATTCCATTATTATTTCACAAAGTACAGATATAATAATTTTTTTGCAGAATAGAGGTAGAATATTAAGGTGATAATGCTTTGTGATTGGGACAATAAGAAAAAAAATGATAATTTAACATGCAACTGTATGCATATTTCTCTTTATAGAACAAAAAAGCTAACCAAATTAAAGAAAAACAAAGCAAAGGTTAACTTAATTGTAAAGGAAAACACAAATCTATAAATGAAAAAATATTGAAATTAAACTCAAACATAAAAGATATGTTCAGCTAATTTCAGGATAATCTTTTAAGAAATGTCAGTAATAGTTCATGGCCTCTTAAAGGCAAGGAACATGCGGCTGGTTTTAAGTTGGGAAAACTATTCTGGAGAGCAACAAAGGTAAAAATTGCTTCATTCTACAAGATAAAACTTTCCAGGCACAGAAATATTAAACTGGGGTCGTTGATATATCTTTAATTTGCTCTGTATATAATCCTCAGTGCTGAAAGAAATACAAAAGGAAACAAAATCAAGATATAAGTCAGTTGACATTTAGGACCATGCATTCTGTATTATTACTGGAACATGCACATGCTTCTGGCATATGAAAAGTCATGCATGGAAGTGCAAGCACCATACCTTAATTTTCACCACTTCTGCATAGCCTACTGTGCCATCATTAAATTTTATTGAACGTTTAACTCCCTGAAATAAAAGAGCACTTTCATATACTGCATCTGGTATATATAAGAAGGCGCCTGTATGAAACACAATGGACTGCTTTATAAAACTAAATGTTATGTTGATGACATCTATCATCAAGACATCTTCTTGACTTTCTGGCCAGCTGTGCTGAAATAACAGAAGGCAATGCCCACTACATTCAATATAGGATAACACTTTTCCAACATGTAATGATCATAAAGTGCAATTCTCTATTTCATGTCTTTTCTTTTCCTTTTCTTTTCTTATTTATAACTGTTTCAAAAAAGATCAAGTGAAAACAAAGCTATAGAATTTCTGGTTTGTTGTCCACTGATGACCATTTCTCTAAAACAATACAAAAAACAGTTGAGAAAAGTTTTTTTATGAAATCCTTGCCATACTCATGCAATTTTACCAAAAATTCATTGGTACAGCTATCACACTAGCACATACCTTGGCTCCATTTGTCCCATCCAGCCCTGGTTTTCCTTCAATACCCCTGTCCCCTTTATCTCCTTTTGGACCCTGAAGTAAGGCAGAGCATTACTGATACATGCATCTACAATTGTCTGGTGAGAAGACACAGAATCTCAACAAACACAATCAAAGATAAAATATTTGCTCAAAATTTTGCTCAAACGCTCCCATTTTGCTCCCATCACTTATTTTTCAAAAAAAGGACATTTATAAATTTGAGTTCTTTCCCCTAACATTTTTGTGTCATTTTAGATCTTTAACTGGCAGGGATACATCAATGTGCTACTTGGATGTAATGATGATGGTGCAGCTAATTTTACTGGACTATCAAACACAACAACAGGATATAAAGAAGACAAACGCGGTGCACCTTCAGAAGTGAATCATCTGCCACAACATTTACTAAACAACAGCCTCAGCTCAAAATAGTCTTAAACTAAAAATCTGATGCGATGATTGATTTCATTGCACTAAAATAAATCTATCAGCAGTCTCAACACTGCTTCTAATTTTAGGGCTTGTACTCCTAAAACTGCATATCAAAACCATTTGGTTAGCTCAGATCAAAGAGACTAATGATATAATGTTTGTGCACTGTTCTATTTCAGAATGAACCTTCATATCCTGCAAAATCTCAGAAGACATTTTGGTACCTGTAATGTTGTACTTTCACCTAAACTTACACAACAGAAAAAGTTGTCTGTAGAATGACCTTGTTCCCAATTTGGTCTGGCTTTCATTGAAACACCCCTTTTTTCTTTTTTTCTTTGTGAGGGTGGTGGTGGTGGGGGGGGAGGGGGATGGGCACTAAACATTCAGAGTTTAAAAAGATGTGCTACACATGCCATCCTACATGAAAACCAAGTCATTTCATTTAGCAAAGTAAAGGAAGTACATGATGCTGTTCATGTTCAAATAAACACACTTTCTTCAAACCACTTATTTTGTTAAGTTTGTTCAGTGTCTAGATCATGTTATACACCCCCACAACCAACTTTCTTTAAAATCAAATGCTTTTATACATCCACAGACTTCAAATGTTATAAATAACAAAGATGGAAAAAACAAGTCTATTAAAAAATTACTTTCATAGGCAGATCTATATTTGGAGGCCATAAATTTCCTTTCTGGCATCTTTTTTTGCCCTTTCCTATTGCGTAATTTCATTTCAATTGCTTTTAAGTCCACCCCAATAAACAAACTGTTATGACATTTCAAAGCCTATCCCCTTTACATAAATAGGCAAAATAGTCAACTTTTTTTATCATATGTTAATAAAAACCATCAACTAAATTATTGTAACTTATTTTGATGGGTTCCATTTTCAAATCATTGAAAAAAAGGAAACATTATATTCCTATGGGTTTGATGATTGTTCCGAGCACTTATCAGGCACCCCTTTCTCACTTATTAAAATATAAAATGTCTAACTTTTTTAATTTTAAGTACTTAAAACAGAATCGTTATGAGAAAATACACTATGTGCTATGCCCTATCAGTGATCTTTTAAAAATATCAAAATGAAGTAACTATTATCTTTAAATATCTATGTCACCTTTCAACAGAAGTCTAACAGAAAGCATCATCAGCTTAATCCAGATGTGACACATCAGACAAAAAAGAGCACAAAACTGCTGTTTTTTATAGTTTCAAAAGATGGAAATAATTGCCCTGGCTTTAAGACTATCTGATTATGGCCAGTTGTGCCAGCAGGTTATATCCATATTTATGACCAGTTTGTCTTCACATGTTCACAGGGCAGACTGGTGGCTTTAAGGAGTGCATCTTTTTTATAAAGTTATTTATCTCTTTTCCCATTGCCCAAGACTGGCTTAAGTAAAAGGAAAGTGTTACAGTTACTTCAGATTTATTTCTCCACTTGAACATTGCTCAAGCATATTCTGTTTGAGTGCCACACAGCAGGAAGCAATATTTGAATACAACCTCTGCTGCAAACATAAAGGAGCAAGACAATATCTATTCACCAAAATCTTTTGATCTTTTGACGGAATGCCCCCAAATCTGAAGTAGGCTTTCAGAGCCACTTAAACATATTTTGTGTAATGGTGACATATTTTAGGCATTTGATGCTGTCAAAGGTGATTAATATATTTTTGGTTGCCTTACTTGGATCTGTTTGTTAAAAATATGGTTTAGTTGGTGGAACCCGGTTCAATGCTCCCCTTAGTTGATATTGAATGCCAATTTGCAGAGTGTGGATTATACTCAAACAAAATGTAACGTTTTGTACACATTGTGTTTATAAGAGACATCTATAGACACAATGTACATGTGAGCTGTAGCTGTTACTGACATTACTGAAGTAAGAATTTTTTATGAAATCAAATAACTACGTAAATCTATATTTATATCAGCAAAGTTAATTAGGCTATAATCTATGCTTTAAAGAACACACACAAACATCAACTCAGAGACTAAGATGACAAAAATAAAATATAAACTCAAATCTCACCTTAATTCCTGGATCTCCTTTCCGTCCTTTTACACCCTAGGTAGATTTTAAAAATTGAGTATTAAGCCGCATTTGTAACAGCGAACTAAGTAGTCCACGGATCAAATATGACGACCCACTTGCTGTCTAGTCCCCTAAAAGAGACTGAATAGATTCCCTGCAGGGTTTAAGCAACAAGCATTCAAGTGGGTCAGTCATATTTGATTCATGGGCTAGTTAGTCTGCTATTGTGTTAGATTGGGTAACTACGTTATTTTCCCCTATACCAAACTGAAGGATACTTTTTAATTGTTCCTTACTATACTTTATACAAAAATCATTTCTTACTTACTCAAAACCCAAAGACTGTGTGGGGATGTCTGTTTGTAATGCAAATTTAAAGCCATTTAACAGACAGAGAGGTTTTGAAAAAATATTTCCTAACTCACTGGTTCTCCTTTGGGTCCTGGATGACCAATGGAACCCTGTAAAAAGAAAACAAATATAGATTTATAAAAGCTTCAACTTAAAAAGTATTTTAAAAAGCTATATTCTTTAAAAAAACTGAAGCAAATCTTAAAATGTCATAAAAATTCTTGTCAGTTGTTTGAAAACCTAATGTCTGCATTAAAATACATTTTTTTTCTCATTTCAATATCTATAAATCAAGAATAAGATTTAAAACAGTGCAACTGCAATGTTTTTAAATTCTTTATAGAAATCCACAACCACTTCAATGTAAAAAAGGTGAAAAGCTTGTTACAACAAGAGAGCGCTGGGAGAAAGTTGCTTAGAGCAGTTAATCACGCTTGTAAGGCATTCATTTTACAAGAGCAGCAAACATAACATAAGATGTCATACTGGTTTCAACTTGGTAGGTTTTGATTCGGAGGGATCATGCAGTAGAATAGGGTGAAGTATGGGAGTGCTTCAAAGTGAAATACAAAGAATGGTCAAGACAGTAGAGGCAAATGGACCATCTCAAAACAATCAAATTTGTAAACTTAGCTTATTTACATGAACAGGGCATTTCTTTTCAGAAATACCAAGAACTTGGCTTATACTGCATCCCATATTGCTTTGCAGCAAATTCAAAAGTTTTATTAACCATTATTGGAATTTGCTCATCAGAAATATTTGAGATGGTCCATTAGTTTTCTTTTTTTTTTTTTACAATATTTCAGAAAGGTTTCACATTCATACATGAGATACTTCACAAATTTTGTTGACAAACTAAGTTACTGTATGCTTTTTACACAACAAAGTCAAGAACAACATTTAAAAGGAATAGAAACAACACATTTCTTGACATATATGTCTCAAAAGCATCCAAGACTTTCAATATACAACATTGAATATAACAACAATGGCAACTGTCCATTTCATGTGATCCATTTAAACAATTCCACAATGCAGGCGTAAGCACTCTGGAAAACTCTCAACCTCAAAGGTTGTGTCTGTAAGGCCTGATTATCTCTAAATGCCAAACTGTTAAATTATTACACCAGCACCGAAAGCACTGTATCACAAAGTACAACTGATGCCTTAATAACTACAAACTCTTTGAAAACTCAGCCTCGGATGTGTTGATACAGCTTGACAAGTTCCTCACACAATTTTTAAGTTCCAAAACCATACATGGGCCCAATTGGCCATTACAAGACTATCGTTGTATTACTTGCAATCACTAAGAACATTCAAATTTGTTTGGATAATAAATGAAGTACACACCTGGAGTGTGATGTGCCCGATGCACAAACCACAAAACCTGACTCCACGTTCTGAAGAAGTACTTTGAGTAAAACATTCCAACGATAAGCAAAAAATGTATAGGTGCCAAAAGTTTCTCTTAAACCAAAATGCTCATAAAGCTGCGAAATACCAAACATGTACATCATGAGGCAACTGTGACCATTAAGGGGGGATATGTTATTTGCACAACTCTGCTAAAGTGAAACTGTTAACAATTTGAATTGGGGGTAAGGTTAGTGCTCAGCCTTCTCCTGCATTCTACTAGTTGTCTGCATTCAACTAGTGGTTGCTGTAAACTGTTGTACTACACTGCACAGCATCTCAAGTGAAAGTGATGAGAGCTTCACAAACCGGAAATCCTGAATAGCCCCGACCGCCTCGATATCCCTGTAAGAAAAAAAGAAATTGAACAAATTTATTAATTAAATCCATAACTCATGAAATTTATTATCATTAAATTAAACCTGTACTATTCGAAAATCTCATTCTCATTCTCTTATGTCCAGTCACTATGATTTCTCAAGACATGATAAAAATTATATGTTATAATGCACACATGAAAACAAAAAACTAAATGGTGTATATTAAAAGGATAACTATCAACTGACTGAACATGATTGTGAAAAGCAATTCATGTTAGTCAAAGCACTTAACACATCTCTGACCAACTGTGTTGGTGTCAAAAAAGTCAATTCTTGGTGACACAAAGGCAAAAACAATGGGATATAATAATAGTTCAGGCATCAAATTTTACCTTCTTAGGCATTAATGGCAAACAAAAGACAAAAAGTTCAATTGTTTTAAATAATCTTAAATTGTTCACATCAAAATCTCCTCTCCATATAACTTGCAATTGTGCTATCCATTTGAATTTCACCTTGTGTATACTTTTAAGCATGGGGCAAAGGAAAGTTCCACCATATGTAGATAAGGAATAAAATTACTTGGACAAACACCTCTGTTGTTGCAGCATTATCAAATCAAAGGACTTGACCAAAACCCTCTGATCTTCTACAATTGAAAATGAGCCTAATGTACAGATGAAACTGGGTTAACTACAAACAAAACGTGGAAATGTGCATTACAAGACTAGCATAGGTTGCCATGGAGTCTAATGTTAACTTTTTGATAGATTTGAGAAAGGTCACCCAGACTTATATATAGATTATAGCTTACAATTTCAAAAGTGAGTTCTTTTTCCGAAAAATGGATCTTTTACCCCCTTGGATGACTAAATTGAGAAAGAAATAGAATGTAGATCCAAGTTTTGAATCAGAAGGAACCTTTTCAGATCAAAAAGACGGTTCTTTACCCTCCCCCCCCCCCCCCTTGACTATGGGCCTATCACAAATGCCAACGCAATTCTCTGAACATTAGTGTTCTATGTACAGAAGTGAAACAAATAAGATACATGTACTTCATCCAAATTGAAATGAGTATGGCTCTGTAGGTGGGAGTACATTAAATATGGTAAATTTAAAGAAGAGTCACATCTGAAGCACTAATGTCATTACAGCCATTGTACCAGGTGTGACAGAGACACTAGCTGTCATAAACAACAAGGTTGACCAGAGATTGTGACTAAATCTAAGACTACAAACAACCTGGCAATAAGCAACTGTAGAGGTACTCTTACATCTATAGCTTAACTATATAATACAAAGAAAAGTACATGGTTATGTGAGTGAGCAATGTTCGCATAAAACATCCTGGAAAATTAAATGTAGGATACATATTAAAAACACTTCATTTTCAGTATGAAATAGCACGCTAGTGTATGTTTATTGCAATGTGGTAAGAGCATTAGTAAAACTATCTCCACAATCCTGAACTATAACATTTCTGAGGCAGATTCAGTCAACGAACCAATGTAACTAAGGGCAGGCATAGGTCACCAATTAAAGCATGTGGATTGCTTTAATCTTACACCAAGAACTCTCTCAAAGATTACATTTAAATGATACAAAAAATATATATATTCTGAATGTGATGCATTTTTAGGCCAATTCATGAAAATAAAGGAATATTCCATCTGCTTTTCTCAAGTTATTGATTTGATGATTTATAACTGCAAGATGTAACAGACTTAGGTAAGCCATTTGTTTTCTGCAAAAACCAGTCCACATAATCTAACATGTCATTCTTCCTTCATCTCTTAATGGGGACAAGATAATATTTCTGCAAAGAAAGCTTAGACCCCAAGACATTAAAAGTACAAAACAGTTCACTTTGAACACCCAAGGTGATACAATTAAACCATGATAAACACTTATACTAGACATCTATAATCTACTCCAAAGGAGAATTGATACAGGCCCCTTACATCATGCATCAATCACCTCTGTTAATCAAATCACAGTAATTGTAAAGGAAACATTCCTGGTGCCTCTTGGAGTATGCTGCACACCTCATGGAAGTAGGTGAACCACAATGACTTGCTGGCATTTACACCTACTACGGGGTTCTGGCAGGGCTTTAATCCCAAAAGTATAAAAATGTGCAGTAGCCTTTTAAAAGATATCAATCTGAATGAAATCAATATCTACTTTATGTTGTAACATTCTTGTTTTTCTCTTTTATTTGTTAATAAACAAAATCAGAACGAGCAAAGTCCCAAAATCATTTTATGATATGAAGTAAAGATAAATTCCCATTCATGAAGTGTATATATCTTTCTAATGGCTTTTTAAATCATGCTCACTTCACCAACACTGAAACCATGCTATTTCAGACACAGACACAGTTTGTAAACAGCTTAATTTTTCACAAAATATAATGATGTCAGGAATATTCTAACAGAAACCTTTCAGGTGTTATGTCCAGACATAAACTAACTTATGAAACCAAAACCATAACCTTCTGGACACAGGTAATAAACAAAAAAGGACAAATCCAGTACAAAAAGCAAGATGTGTCTGGTGCACAATTGGCAGTGAAGGTTTCTCTTAAAGACTTTCAGACTAAAGACAACAAAAGTAACAAACACTTCTGTGTCCTTCAGATAACTTCCCTAGTGCATCTAAGCTCAATCAAATTCTTTGCCTAAGCAAATAATTTTCTGAGAAAACATCTGGAACAGAGGTCCTATATTCACTGCAGATAACCAAGTCTTGACTCGAGTTGGTTGCAACGAACCTCCACAAATGTATCCCATATTGTCATGTTTTTGTTCTTAAAAGAATGTTTGCCATTGTTATTGGCAAGATGAATGCATCTGACTGTAATATTCACACCTTGGGGTCACTGGGCTGATTCAATTGCTGCAGCACATGAGTAAGTTAAAGGTCTGGGAAAGGAACTTCTTCAGACACCACTACTTTAAAGAATTTCAGTTTCCCATTACCAGATGAGAGAAGTCGATTATTCCTTGAAAAATAGAGACTCAATGTCCACGTGCACTGAATTGTAAAAGAAGATTATGATGCAGACATTTAGATCTGCCTAATGCATTCTTTCACAATTGTTTGATGAGACAGAAAAACATAGCCAGAGAGAAAATAAGTTAACAAAATGCACTGAGCAGATTATTCTGCACATTTGAAGTCCGAGTTTCCAATCCCTGGTTTCTGTGGCAGTGTATATAGTACAATTACTGAAGAGTAAGCAAAAACAATCAATGGAGGGATAAGTAACTGCCTCTTGAAAGTTCAAGACTGGTCATTTGAGATAATCTTTATAACCACATAGCCTCATTGCTTACATGGGTATAGAACTTCAGGGCACAACATTTTCAAATATATTGCACCTTAAAAAGCTCACAGATCTTGTTCTTTGTAAATCTGTAAAGTTCTTGAATACTCTACAGATATATAAACAGCATTTCCATGTAACCAAGGTCAAGGTTCCAATAACCACTAACTAAACTAGCTGTCACCTTTCAGAAACCATGAGGACCAATTCATTTGATGTTCTACTTTAACCATATGAAATATTTCACGTAAATTACAAACCACATGCCGGGGTCGGCTTACTGCAGAGAGGTAATTGAGTCCTGAGTCCTTCCTTAATAAGTTCCAACTTCAAGAAAAACTGAAGAACTTTTATCCCCATTATTACTGATCTTCCCCTAAATAACATCTTTCTAATGAACACTTCACACACTTTTTGTATTGCCCCCAGCAGCCAGGTTTCTGAGGAAAATAAATTCTTTTCATTTGGAAATGGCAAATCGGACATACCAACAACCACATGCGCCCAATGTAGTGTCTGTAGTCCCAAGTTAAAGGGAAAAAGAAGCACTTCTAATGATGATTAGAGTATCTTCAAGGCCCTGGCGTGAACCTTTTTGGTAATGATCCTTAGAAAGTCTGGCAGTTGATTGCTAGCTAAGTAAACATGTTTGTAAAACTCACCTGGACTTTCTAGTAAAATCTGATCTTTAGTTTTCTTTTACAGATGGTTAACTACATTGGTGTGGGTGGATTGATATTTACTCCAGATATTACTTCCAAATTTGTCTGACAATTAATGTATGGAGGTAAATTCCTTGAACATTACTTACGAAGGAAAAAAAGGAAAGAGAGAAACTAATTTGCAAATCTATCTTAACAAAAAAATAGTTGGAAATGCAGTGTTACTGTGTTGTACACAATTTTGATAACTATTGGGTGACTTTCTAAAAATGGCAGCATATAGGTAAAAAATGAATACTTTTATAGAAAACAAAAAATTAGCTTCTCTTTAACAGTAACAGGTAACCTGATACTAAATGGAAGAGCTTCCCTACATAGTTTTATGAATACATAATTTCAATATTACCATCATTACTATTCCTTGATTGTTATTTATCAAATCACAATTGCTGGTTAGGTAAAAGCCAAAACAATTGTCATAACATATGACTTTGTTCAAAAGATGCTTTTCTCATCTTTTCTGCAAAGGTTAGACTGGAAATCCGGATGAGAATCCAAAGAAGTTAAGTAACATCACACAACAGATGCCTTCCGGAAACTGGAGTTAACTGGGCTTTCACCATGATCAGTGAAAAAAAGGCTTGGGGTTAATAAGGAAATGAGGAGTGCATCAACTAAGAGAGAAGGATGAGATTTCAAAATTATTCTTGAAACCTGTGCCTACATCTACTTGCAGGCTTGCCAGCTTCGTGCATTTACCTTTATTTTACTCATTCTTGAGTATATCCCACTGATTTAGTTATCATTTTAACATTCATGAAAATTTTTAGCATCATTTTCGGGACCATTCAAATGTTTTTAACATGCTCAACAACAGATTAACACATTTTTAGAATCACAACACCCAAAACCTGTTTATGCCATGTATCTAGCTAAAAGATTAAGTAAAGTTTTTATTTGTGCAAAATTGTTGGTAAATAATAACTTTTGCTGACTCGTCACATCATAATTTTTAGGACGATGAGTCTTATTGAA